AATCTCTGAGTCCAGGTCAGCCTGGACTACAAGGTGAGTTCTAGGACAGCCATGGCCACACAGAGGAACCCTGTCCCAAAACAAACAGATAAAAAAGGTGTGTACCACCATGCCTGGCCCACCAACCTCTTTTTAATGAGCAGTATTCCATTCAAGAGAGTGGATCATTCCGTAAAAGTGACTTAATCCCTTCCTAGGGATCCACACCATTTAAGGATCTCCCTCTTGGTTTAAGTTTCAAAATGTAAGCTTTGGATAAACAGAGGCATTACAAATAGTATCAAGCAATATATGTAAATTCTTAGTAAGATTCCCCCATTAAGCAAACATTGACCTGTCCATATCACAGGCAAAAAATGTAATGGTTGATTGTCAACCATTGGATTGAGAATTACCTAGAAGAGTAGAAAATGGGGGTCTAACCTAGTGAGCTGATTAATAAAGTTGTGGCATTATTAAGAGGTAGTTAAAATATGAAATGAAATAAAATATCTCATATTTAAGGATGTAGGTCATTGGGATGAATCCTAGGTCTTTCTTTGGTTAATTCCTGTATAGTCTCTGTCTCTGTCTATGACTTTCTCTGTCTCTGTATCTCTCTTTCTGTGTTTGTGTGTGTGTTTGTGTGAGTGTGTGTGTGTTTGTGTGTGTTTGTGTGAGTGTGTGTGAGTATGTGTGTGTCTGTGTGTTTGTGTGTGTGTTTGTATGTGTGTGTTTGTGTGCACATGTGTTTCTGTGTGTGTGTTTGTGTGTGTGTTTCTGTGTGTGTTGTGTGTGTGTGAGTGTGTGTCTGTGTCTGTGTGGGTGTTTGTGTGTGTGTGAATGTGTGTGTTTGTGTGTGTGTTTCTGTGTGTGTTTGTGTGTGTGTTTGTGTGTGTGTGTTTGTGTGCACATGTGTTTCTGTGTGTGTGTGTGAGAGAGTGTGTGTGTGGGTGTGTGGGTGTTTGTGTGTGTGTATGTGTGCGCGTGTGTTTCTGTGTGTGCGCGCGCGTGCTTGTGTATGTGCTTGTGTGTGTGCGTGCGTGTGCGTGCGTGCATGTGTGAATGTGTGTGTGCGTGCGTGCGTGCGTGTGTGAATGTGTGTGTGCGTGCGTGCGTGCATGTGTGTATGTGCTTGTGTGTGTGTGCGTGTGTGAATGTGTGTGTGCGTGTGTGCGTGCATGTGTGTATGTGCTTGTGTGTGTGCGTGCGTGTGTGAATGTGTGTGTGCGTGCGTGCGTGCATGTGTGTATGTGCTTGTGTGTGTGTGCGTGTGTGAATGTGTGTGCGTGTGTGCGTGCATGTGTGTATGTGCTTGTGTGTGTGCGTGCGTGTGTGAATGTGTGTGTGTGCGTGCATGCGTGTGTGAATGTGTGTGTGCGCGTGCGTGCGTGTGCGTGCGTGCATGCGTGTGTGAATGTGTGTGCGTGCGTGCGTGTGTGTTGTATTCTCCTGTGCTCACTCTCATCCTTTCACCCTACTCTCCTCCTTGTTCTGGCTTTCCCTCTCCTCCTTCCTGGTGACAACAGCAGACCTGCTCTCTGCCCTTCAAGCAGTATGAAGCCTCTGAAACCATGAGCTCAAAAAAATCCTTCCTCCTTTATGCTGTTTGCGTCTGAACAAGAAAAGCAACTGCAGAGAGCATGGCCAGTGGGCTGTGATACCCTCAGCTATTAGGCTGTACACAGGAGATTGGCCTTTCGAATATGTTTTGTTTATTCACACAGACATTTCTTGTAACACCACGCTGATATAAAGGTCATGGTAATCTTATGTAAACAGACATCTCACCAAGACGGAAACAGTTGGTCAGACAGAAAACTACTTCAGGGTTCCACTGGTGAATTATCTCTGGTTAGAACACTCCTAGAGTGTCAGGCTCAACCTACATGTGCCTTGAAATCCTTCAGCTGTGGAAGGCTAGAGGATGGCATTATTGGAAGTCCCAGAGGTCCTTGAGAGCATCAGCCAGCCCCTAGCACTGACAGGTCAACTCCTATGGAAAGCGAGAACCACACAAGAGCTAATCTCAAAGTCTTCTTGCCTGTGGGGATCAGCACAGAGGGGTGAGATCCAGAGTCCCTGGAGCACAGCAGTGCAGTCCATAGGAGCCACTCTCTTACTTCTTAAACTCTTTGTGTATTTCAGTGCATGGTTCATCGAGCTTACCGTGTGCTTAATTTGGGGGTATTTCACACATTTTAATACAAATATTTTTCTGTTTTGTTCACAGTCAAACGTGTTAGGTTCAATTGTAAATATTGTTCTTGTTTTACAACAACATTCTTTAAGTCAAAACATGTTTACATTCATTTTGTCAAACCAAATTATCATTTCATAACAATGTGACATGTTTTCAACATAATTTTCAGGTTGCACAAAAAATGGTTTTACTTATGTTCCTATTACTAATTCAACAAACAAGAAAGTAGCGGTCTTGGAGTTGGAGAGATGACCCAGCTTTGAGTCTGCCCTGTTCTTCCTGAGGACCTGAGCTGGGTTCTATGGTATTTGAATGAGAATGGCCCCTATAGATTCATATATTTGAATTTTGGCTCCCAGTTAGTGGAACTATTTGGCAAGGATTAGAGGTGTGGCCTTATTAGAGGAGATGTTTTACTGAAGATCGGCTTTGAGGTGTGTTGTAATTTTACAAAGCAGCACATGGAAAAAAAGATGCCATGTGACAGAGTTTGGGTGTAGGGGTTTTATATTGAGGGAAAGTGAATGGAAAAGGGAGGAAGGGGAGAGGGGAGACTGCCCTATGGGGACAGGAGCAGCAGAAGAGAAAAGAGAGGCAGAGAGAGAGAGAGACGGAAAAGCAAAGAGAAACAGAGAGACAGATAAGGACAGAGAGAGACAAAGAGACAGAGAGACAGAGATACAGACAGAGAAGCAAAAAGAAACAGAGAGAGACAGAGAAGGACAAAGAGAGAGAGAGAAGCAAAGAAAAACAGAGACAGAGAGAGAAAGAGAGAGGGGGCAGGCCAGGGCCCTTTTAAAAGGGAATGGGATGGATGTGCACAGGTGGTGCTCTTAGTGGCTGTAGCTGAGGGCGTGTCCTGTCAGAACCCCAAGGACAGGCCAGTACATGTGCCTGAACCCTAACAGTTTCCTCTTCTGACCTCCCTGAGCACCTGCACCCACTGTGCACTAACAGGTACACATATATTTGGAAGGGGACTCCCACACATTGGGTGCTTTCTCCCAGACCCAGATTAGACACAAACTACACCCAAACACCTGTTTTCCCATGAGATCCTTTGTTAAGCAGGGAAGGAAGTTAAAGTACCTACTTTCTGATTCGGGCAGAAAACAGCAGCAAACGACCTTACAGGTCTAATTTTTAAGAGGAGAAGAAGAGGAGGTCTGTGTTAGAGTGAGCTAGGATGAGGTGGTAAAGGAGATAGAGGATGAGGGAGAAGGGGACAAAGAAAAGGGGTCAGGGATGTTTGCCCAGGGGACAAAGGACCTCCTCTGGATAGAGAGGAGACAGACATGGCCCACAGGCAAATGGCAGTTTATAAAGAGGGAAGCCCTGTGGTAGGATGAGTTGGTTAATTTTGATTGGTCATGTTAGTTAAGGTGGCCAAAGGCAGCTTCTGATTGCCAGACTTCAGGGCTTCAATCGCTGGACCTCAGTAGTCAGCCTCAGGAGGCAGCAGTGGCCAAATTAGGGACTGGACCTTGGTGGCTGTCTTTGTGAGTGTAATATGAGCAGTTTCAGCAAGGCAGAGGGGATGCGGAGAGGGGCAAGGGCTGCCAGAGCCATGCTCGCCATGTTCTGGCCGGAGTCTTTTCACACTATTTAAAACAAACTCTTAAAAGTAAAGAAAGTGAAGGACTGAGCTCTGCCGGTGCAGAGAACCTCAACAGTAGTGGAGGAGGCATGCTTTACTTGACATTTGCAACTTTGTAGCAGGAAGTAATTTCATCCATTTAGATGAGTTTTATAAATAAGCTACAGAGTGGAAGGATTGTTTAACAAATACATGACGATATGGGAAAGTATGCTTCTAGAGACTTTTCAAGGTCTGCTTCACTTGCCTGTGGAGAAGGACAAGGGTGTGGCAGGCCAACTGTCACCTGTCCTATTTGTTAGATCTAAGGATTTTCTTTCATTTGAGGCCACGGTTCTATCTTAGAAATATTTGAAAATGGTTGCAAAAGATTCCTAAGTACTTCCTCACCTGCTCTGAAAAACCACAAAAACAGAAAGTATCCTCAAATTGTAGCAAGTAGAATTAATTTATCTCCCCCCAAATCAGAATAAGCCAGGCAGTGTTGGCAAACACCTTTAATCGCAGTTCTTGAGAGGCAAGGCAGATCTCTATGAATTTGAGACCAACCTGGTCTACAAGAACTAGTTCCAGGACAGCCTCCAAAAGCTACAATGGAAAACCCTGTCTCAAAAAAAAAAAAAAAAAAAAAAAAAAAATCAGAATATAGCTAAGAAAATTATTATGGTGGAGGCAAACTATATAATTATATTTTCCAAAGCTTTAAAATTGCACAGATTCAGTTCTAAATGTACTTACTGTTTCACATGAGGAAATCTTACTGCAACAATCATAACAGCACAGAAACACAGACGAGGCAGAAATAAGTGACTCGGGAAACGATAGGATGGAGATAGGGTGACTCACTCCTGGTGTCAACACTGGAAATTTACCTGTGCATTCCTGCTTTGTGGAGTCAGCCCATTAGCTAGGGCAGTCTAGAAGTGATAGGGCTCTGTGTGTTTCAAAGCATAACTCTCAAGGCATGGTGGGAAAGGAATTAAGATGTGACAGGCCAACAAGGGCTTATTTCAAGAGCAGCCAAAAACTCGATAAGAATGAAGATAAATATGTTGGGCTCAAAAACATGGCCAGAGATGGAAGAGGTAAGAGAGGATTGACTTAGCGTGGGTCCACCCTCTGGGTTCCAGGGAAGGAAAGAAGTGAATTTACTCATTTACTTCCAATGGTCTTTAATTTCTGTTGTGTCTGTGTACGCCATGTCTCCTTCCATCTAGATCTTGTTCCTCATCTTGAACCATCGTCTATGAAATTACAAGACATGGAGGATGAAGATAAGACAGTTGGATGTCAGGATTCAAAGCCACCCACAGGGATCAGTAACACAGCTCCTGCGCATCAAGGACCACAGGTAATATCGCCACTCAAAGGCAGGAAGCCAGCAGTTTCCCTGAGCACACTGCTATGTGTTTCCAAGCTGAGAGGATTGTTTCTCCTCACTCTTTCCCAGTCAATTAACAATTCTCCCAGAATTGCCAGGTGATACTCCTAAAATGCCAGCCACTCGGAAAGAGTGATGCAAAATTATTGTGAGTATGCAGCCAGCCTGAGTTGCCTAGAGAGACCCTGTCTCCAAAGAAAGGGGGAGGGGGAGGGAGAGAGAGAGAGGGAGACAGGAAGGGAGGAAGGAAATTTCTCCTCATGCTTAATTTCCATGACCATATACACCAAGGTAGATAGTAGCTAGCCCTACCCAATGTTGGCAAAATAGCCTATGAAATGCTGTGTTCCTGGCCTAAGCCCTAGAAGGATCACTTTGGTATATTAACCTGCTATCATCTTGAGTTGTGTCTTAACTATATCAATTTTGGGGCCTAGTATTGTACAATGTAACTTTATGCTTATGTGACTCAGGCATTTGAAACTCTAAAAATAGGGACTCATTGTTCAATGTTCTTCAATGATTCTTGTTGTAAGCACTGACTGACTTGTTGATAATCAAGTTGTGTGCGTCTTTATAAGCTATTATCCTAGATTTTAATAACGGCAATTTGATTTGCAATGTGATAAGCCAATCGCTAAGGGATGCATGGAAACGTGGTTTGAAAGACTTGAAAATTTTGTTTTGAGTGCAGGAGGCGAGAGCCGTGAACCTCAAAGGTGTAGAAGGGAATGAGCCAACAGAAGACAGCAACCTGCTGAACAGTGGTGAAAAAAAGCCCCAGGAATCGACAACAGAATCCAGTTGCTTGCAGAGTCTGAGACGAACTCTGGCTTGCCCTCCACATGGCTCGTTGGGGAAAGTGATAACAAATGGTGTGTATATGGCAGGGGTGAACTCAGAAAAAGGTCATCGGAGATGAAGTCACAGTGAGAGTTTCCAAAACCAGATGGTTAAAAGGACAAGAAGAAATGTACTTCTTTCTTAAATCAGAACTACTAGGTGGGACAGCTGCCGATGGTTGAGGCTCTGACCAACACAGTTATGGGGTAGGGATGCGGGGTGAGGGTTCGTGAAAAACGCCACCATCTCAGACTGAGGCTTGGAAGGTGTCTGCAGTCACCATGTTTGAGCCAGTACACTTTTGAGTCAAAAAAGCAGGGATTAAAGAACACACACACACACACACACACATTTTCACAGAATCATGGTAAGGCTGCAATGAGAACATTGTAAATATCTGGTTACCAGAGAAGCATTATGTAAATGCCAATGTCATTACACAAAACCGGTGTGACTAATACTGAGCAAACAGTGATTATTTTGTGCTTCTAATCAAATCCTGTCATTTCACAAGTAAGAATCTTGGTTTGCAATTCAACCATTTCTTTGTAGACTTTGAGAGTTTTGGGGAGGGAGGAGGATCTATGAACTGTTTGGGATACTGCTTCTGTTGAGATATATTTGCCTTTTAGTTTACGAAGGTAACCTAAAATATGTTAGAAATTTGATGAATGTATACGTGTTCATAGTCAGTGGTACAATTTTTGTTCACAAAGGAAGAGGGAGGAAAAGAGTGTGTGTGTGCTCTGTGCATGCATGCACTTTCATGCGTGTTAACTGTGTAATACCACAAGAAAGGACGGGTTGAAAATTTTCCATAAAAGCAAATTCTAAGACAATTTTGGAAACTATTGAGAAATGAAAACATGATTATAGTATATCTATGTATTGTTCTCTGAAAACCAAGGCTAAATTCTCAATTACCATTTCCCTTGACCTTGATGTGTGTACGTGTGTGTGTGTGTGTGTGTGTGTGTGTGTGTGTGTGTGTGTATTACTTTGCAACCAAGGCTGTCTGTGTAGCTCAGGACTCATGATCCTCCTGCTTCAGCTGCTTCAGTGCTGGGTTTGCAGACCCACACCACCCACCCAGCCTCAACACCCACCCAGCCTGAGCTAAGTTTTTGGACCTGTACTTTCGAAGGGTGCTCTCACAGAGATTTTTTTTTTTTTTTATCATTTTCATGCAAGACCATGAAAACAAACATAATATGTTATACTTTAGAGAGTGTATGTTTTTACTGGAAAAGTAAGATTCTGAACCAGTGTGGGGAAAAAAAATGTTAAACTGTTTGGAACACAGAAAACTAGGTCTCAAAATATAACTAGCTGAAGAGGCTGCCCATAATTTGATACCTCTTCTCTCCTTTATATAATTTTTTAAACTTTTGCCACTGAGAATATGACACATATCTAGTCTTAAAATTGTAATAAAAACAGATACGGATTGCCTGAGGAATATGTAAACATGAATGATGTGATTCGAGAACTCATTTATTTGTTTATCCTTTCTAACATTTTCTGGCGCTGTATGTGCATGTATGTATATTCCCATGTGTGCATGTGTGTGGAGGCCGGAGATTGATGTTGGGTCTTGCTCCTTCGCTCTCCACTCTCCATATTGAGATTGGTGCCTCACTCCTTGCATGATCTGGCTCCCAGGACTCTGACTAGGGAGAGTCCTAACTGGGGCAGCAAGGGAATGAAAAGGAAAGCTGGGATCAGGTAGGATGGGCTCTCTGATGGAGAAGCTGCAGGACCTGGGGCATTCAGCATGTTTATTATGTCTAGCTGAACACGAAAGAGGGCTTATTACACTCAGATAAACAAGGGGTCAGGGTTATTACATACAGCTGAACAGACACACACACACACACACACACACACACACACACACACACACACACTGGTTCACGTAGTGTAACTAGCCAGCTTGCTCTGGGATTCCATCTGTACCCCGAGCCCTGGTATTACAGGTTGATTGTCATGTTGACATCAGCGCTCCCTACTAGGGATCCGAACTCTCCTTCTCACTCACCTGGCAAGCAGTTTTATCACTGAGCTCTCTCTCCAGCCTAAGAACTCATTTCAAAAATGGGAATTGTTCAGAAACATTCCTGGGAAGTGAGGGTTCCTAGTAAGCCTGTGCAAACTGTTCTCCGGTATTTCTGCTTCTGAGGTTGATAGATTGTTCTGTAGCCACTCCTGCATCGTTTAACATATACTAACACTTCTTGGGAAGTAATTATTACATGAAAGGTATGTTTTTCCAAAGTCATAAATGACAAATAAGTTATTGACTGATTTAAACCTGATTTAGAGACACTTTATAAATGTACACATAAATGACATTTACAAATGTATTTTAGGTTGGGAATGAAAAGAGAGTTAGAGATTTTTTTTAAGTGACCTTAGCATGGAAAGATGAAAACTCTTAGCTCTATTTGTGGAATTACTGAAAAGTTCAGTTTATGCTTTAATAAAGTCAGTCTTAACAGCTGGCAAGGCACGCCTTCTATTCTGCCTGTAACATCTGGAAATCTAAACCTGTATATTCCACTAAAAAATACTGAAGGTGCCAGAGATATTTTATTGCAATAATAGCTTACATCTCTGAAAATATTTTTGGAGGTTTTAGAAAAAGAGGCATTAGCTTTGTTTGATGGGTTTATTACTTATTACTTCTCTCATTTTGTGATAACACAGCAATGGATCACGTCCCCCTTTTTTTAAGAGTGATAATTCCAAGCAAACATTGACTATAAAAGAAGTGATGGTTAATGTTTAATTCAAGGCAGAATTACCTGCTGGTGTATCACTGGAGTGCAAATATCCTCAAGTTTCTACTCAGAGGGCAAAGATGGTGATTGTTCTCTGTAATATGAATTGTCGCTTGTTGCAAGATGGTGTTTCCTTCTGGCATTGTGAAGGGAACCGGGGCTGAGAATGGGCCATAGGTGTACCCAAAGGTGCTGTCCCCTGGTTCTCAAACTGGCTGGTAATCACCTAGTTGTTTACATCATCGTGTCCTTTATAACTTATTGTTATAAACATTTGCATATTGATTCACTGTGTATTTAAAAATAATTTCACAATGCAAAAAAGTTTGCATATAATAATTAGTTTTCCTGGTCGAGTTTCAATTTTTGTGTTTTTTTTTTTTTGTTTTGTTTTGTTTTGTTTTTATAGGTACCATGGTTGTTCTTCTGTGGGCTGTGGTTTGGTCAGTTACAGGCCCTGAGTGTCTTCCTGGAGGAAATCTGTTTGGAATCATAATCCTATTCTACTGCGCTGTCACGGGAGGTAAACTTTTTGGACTCATTAAGTTGCCAACATTGCCTCCTCTGCCTCCTCTTCTTGGTAAGTGCTCAATGCTTCCTGACTTCCTCAAAAGAAATGATAGCTTTATAAATACTCTGGGAAGCTTTGGGAAATAAAATAATAAAATATTTCAGTATTTTCAGTCTTGGAGATAAAAGCCAAATTTTAATTTAAAAAAGTTATTAGTGTTTGTGTGTGTGTGTGTGTGTGTGAAAGAGTATGTGTGAGTGTGTCAGTATGTATGAGTGTGTGTGTGCGTGTGCGTGTGTGTGTGAGAGTGTGTGAGAGAGTATGTGTGAGTGTGTCAGTATGTATGAGTGTGTATGTGTGTGCATGCGTGCGTGTGTGAGAGAGTATGTGTGAGTGTGTCAGTATGTATGAGTGTGTGTGTGTGTGTGAGAGAGAGTATGTGTGAGTGTGTCAGTATGTATGAGTGTGTGTGTGCGTGTGCGTGTGTGTGTGAGAGTGTGTGAGAGAGTATGTGTGAGTGTGTCAGTATGTATGAGTGTGTATGTGTGTGCATGCGTGCGTGTGTGAGAGTGTGTGAGAGAGTATGTGTGAGTGTGTCAGTATGTATGAGTGTGTATGTACGTGCGTGCGTGTATGTGTGAGAGAGTATGTGTGAGTGTGTCAGTATGTATGAGTGTGTGTGTGCGTGTGTGTGAGAGAGTGTGTCAGTATGTATGAGTGTGTATGTGTGTGTGTGCGTGTGCGTGTGTGTGTGTACACATACGTATGCTATGAGCAGCAGCTCTATGGAGTCAGTTCTGTCCTTCCATCTTTATGTGGGTTCTGGGGATCAAACTCCGGTCTCCAGACTTCCAAGGCCAGCACATTACCAGCTAAGCCATCTTCTCTGCCTCCAGTCCTTGAAGGACTTTTGTGATCCAGCTTCTAGTTGTGTTGATTTTTTAAATTAAGTAATATAAATTTACAATTAAATAGTTTACATGTAAAAAGAAGAGCAATGCGTACTCAGAATGTGCCATTTCCTGATTGTGCTCTACGTCCTCTTATCTAAGCTCTTGAGGCTATGGCTGTGCCATTTAATCATGTGCCTAAGCCCATTTTTTCTGAACTCCATAAACAGTAACTTCACATGCGTACACTAAAATCAGCTATACTCGAAGTGTCTATGATGCAGAAATCAATAAATGCTACAAGGTGGGGCTTGTTAATTTGTTTTGTTTTGCTTGTGTTGGTTTTTTTTTGTTTTGTTTTTTTGTTTTTTTGTTTTTTTGTTTTTTTTTTTTTGAGTCAGAGTTTTTCTGTGTCACCTTGGCTGGCCTTGAACTCACAGAGATGCACCTGCCTCTGCCTCCCAAGTGCTGGGATTAAAGGCATACACTTCTACTGTCCAGTGGGGACTTGATAATTGTAAGTCACTCAAGTCATTAACAGAGTGACATTTTGATGTGTAATTTTGTTAAATTCTTATTTTACCATCAAGGTTAGTAAAAATGTCAACCACAACCCATGGCAGTACCCTGTCTGCTAGGTAGTGTGGATGGCTTCTTTGCTGAGACAGTTATGTGTAACTTTCTGTTTCACTTTGAGGTTGATCAAATTTCTGTTGAATTTCGCCCATTTTTGGTTATAAGTACAGGAATCTGGCAAGTTGAAATTAAGGCAGTCTGAGAATTCAGTGGGACTGAGATGATTTGGGGTGTGACACACACTATGACTTTTTTGGGTTTTTGGTTTTTTTTTGTTTGTTTTTTTGTTTTGTTTTGTTTTTTGTTTTCTGAGATAGGGTTTCTCTTTGGAGCCCTGCCTGTCCTGGAACTCAGAGATCCACCTGCCTCTGCCTCCTGAGTGTTAGGATTAAAGGCATGCGCCACCATGCCTGGCTACTGTGAGTTTTCATTCCTCATTGATGTTCTAGTTTTAGCTTCATGTGTGTGTGTGTGACAGAGAGAGAGAGAGAGAGAGAGAGAGAGAGAGAGAGACTCAACATTATTCCTTCTACAAACCAGGTGGTCCAAATACTCCTGGTGTGGACAACACAGGTTGGACTTGATGGGTTTAAGAATCAACATAAATAAACATAATAAACACAAATAAACAAGTATTGCAGGCCTCTTTCTGGTGTTCTAGAACGACCAGAACAATAGCATTCAGAACTCAGAGCCTTTTTTTCTAGACTGAATGTCAGTGGTGAGAAATGACAGTTCTGTGTTAAACAGTGTCTGTAGTAAGTCAGTTTGCCTCTATTTTTATACAGCGTCCTAACTTTAGTAAATGTGTTAATCACTGTGAAGTGTGGGCTCATTCGGACACAGTGAATGAGCAGAGAGCAGGCGTGGAGGGCACAGACCTCAGGGCCTTTGCTAGAGAGGTCAGTTCCTTCATATGTCCTACTGACCTTAATGTAAGCCCTTACAGGGGCTCACAATTCCATTACAGAATCCTCTTACAAGGTTCAGTTATGCATGGTTATCTGCAGCTCCTATGATGTGAAATGCCTTATACCTTCAAAGTATCCACTTTGTGTCCCAGGAACATTACATGTGCCAGGCCCTTCCACCCCACCCCACCCCCACCCCACCCCCCACCCCGCCACCTCCCACCCCTGCCCTGGGCCTCCTATTTGTAGCGGGATTAATAAAATCCCAGAGCTTGACACTGGGATTCAAGCTGAAGAAGAGAGAAGGAAAGCAGCCACGCCAGTAGCTCTCACCTCTACCCAGGCTGAAGCAATCCTGCCTGAACGTGGCTAGAGAGCAAAAAGCCCCAGACTGAGTATCTGCTCCTATCTTATATACCTCGTGTGCTGGGATTAAAGATGTGTGATCCCAAGTGCCGAGATCACCTTTGTGCGAGCTGTGTCTCTTTTAAACTGAATCAACTTCATGTAGCTCAGTGTGGCCTTGAACTAACAGAGATCCATCTGCTTGTCTCTCGAGTCCTGGAATTAAAGGTGTGTGCCACCGCTGCCTGGCTCTATGGCCATGCCTTCTGTACCCTCAGGCAAGCTTTAATAAATCACAAATAATATATCACCACACCTATTCCCCTGTCTTTTCTCAGTCTCCTACAGGTGGGGTTGTTAGTGTTGTTCCTCTGAAGGCAGACATCTTGTTGCTGTATTGTTGTTCCTAGCATTTGTCTACAGAAATAAGAGTTCATAGTGTTTTGTCTACAGCTGATTCCATGTTCATCTTCTTGTATGAAATAATGAAAGCATCCAAGAAATGGTAAACAGTAAATAAAGAAAAAGGCATTGTCTGGCATGGCAGGGCAGTGTCCGGTTACCATAGTTGTCTTCCAAACCTTTACAAAGGGTGTTACGTGTATCTTACTAAATTGTCTCCTGTGAAGGTAAAATACAATCCACGTAAGTACTTATTGATAGCTCCGGTAACCTGACATTGCAAAGAATTTCAGGAGCTGTTTGCATTCAGGGATAACTGAACTGACGTTGAATTAAAGCATCTTATTTAGGATTTGATCATTATTCCTTTTAATCACTACACTTTGTGTGTCCCTTCTATACCCAATTATTCAGACAATATTTATTCTAATCAGTAGTACACATGATGTATTTCTCTGACCCTTTTATTTATTCTATTTTTTAAATTATGAGTTTAACTTCATTTCATCCAAAGACTAATCGTAAGGAAAAACTATACTGTAGTCCCTGTCACATGTAAAGTGTTAAAAACAATATTTTCCCTGTTTGAAAACTTAACTAATCCTGTTTGACTGATCCATTCAAGGCATGCTGCTTGCTGGGTTTCTCTTGAGAAATGTCCCCATCGTCAGTGATAACGTCCAGATCCAACACAAGTGGTCTTCTTCTTTAAGAAGCATAGCACTTTCTGTCATTTTGGTGCGTGCTGGCCTCGGTCTGGACCCAAAGGTATGGAGTATGAATTTCTAATGATTGAATAGTAAGTATGTTCTTCTGATATTACAAGTATTTATAATTATTAGCCTTCAGGAAGTGAATGAATAATGCACATGCCAATCTCAGGAAGAGGGAGGAGTTTCTTCCAGGCAGGGACACTCCCACCCTGGGACTCATAGGAGCCCAGATGTTTCCATACTATGTTTTGAAGGAACAAGTGTTACTGTCGTGGGAAAAGTACACATATGTCATAGTGAGAGGTAATGATTATGGGGAAATAGCATGTCGAGCCCAATACCTGTGCGTAGGAAATGCTTTTTACCAATATACCTTTGAATGTGCGAATGAGTGTTCTTTGGGGACAAACACCTTCATCTGGCCTCTTTCTGGGATTGTAGGCCACAAGTCAAATAGATAGTGAGCTGGTATATAGGTTGTAAACACAGACTCTGAAGTCACCTGCATGACTGAAAACCTGGCCCCAACACTCACCAATGTCATGAACTGAGGCCACCGACTTTAACTTGTGCCTTCTTACATGGTGACATCTATAAAAAAGGACCAGTAGTTGCCCATCGCAGGCTGAGGACTGGGTATGCTGCCTCCCAAACATGTCGAATGTAGAGATACCTGCTGAATAAAACTAGCTGAAAAACCACGATGACCAAGCATGGCGTGAGAAAGTGCTGGGGGTCACATGGTCCACTCCTATTTTTCAGGCGCTGAAGAAACTGAAGGGTGTGTGTGTGCGACTGGCCATGGGTCCCTGCATCGTGGAGGCGTGTGCTTCTGCCCTCCTTTCTCACTTCCTGATGGGCCTGCCTTGGCAGTGGGGGTTCATACTGGGGTAATGACTCTTTTTCTTTCCACGTGAAAATATCGAGGGCCATTTGGAACTTAAGAAAATAACATTTTCTTAAGAGGACCGTAACAGATCATGAACACTCCAGAATCGTCTAAATAGTCTAGCTTTAAGTTACAGTTTGCGTCCCTGTAGTTGTTAACTTCGCAGTGGCTGCAACAATATAAATGACTGAAGAAGTTCTGATTTTGTCTTTTGGCCTATGCCCAATAGGCAAACCCACCCCACAGCCTCCGTGAGCAATTTGAACCACCGCGTCCCTTCTGGCAGCAGACATCGTGACTCGGTGGTTCGCCTATATTCTTTCTGCTGTCATGTTTTCATGTCCAGAGGGTGAGAGCCACGAGACATGCACATGTTAAAAGCATACAGCAAGCACTTAGTGTTTACATATGGACAAGGAGAAAGTCTTACCTGTCAGGAGTAGGACACTAACTAGGTTCCAGCTCTAGCTTTGTGATTTCCGCTTATCCAGTCTCTCCGTGCCTCGAGGTCCTTACTTGTACCAATTTCTCAGTGTGATGGTGGTGATGAAATGAGTTCATACGTGTGAGGTACTCAAAGAGGGTGTTCAGGGCGTACTATGTGAAAGGGTTTGCGGCTTTACACCTGTTGCTATTATTAGCTCACTGCTCCCGACCTCATAACTTTCTCCTTCAGACTTGTCTTATGTCACATTTCAAGATTTAGCTGAAGCCCTGTTGCAATTGAGAATGCCCATGGTAATTTAAAACCTTAAAACATGACTGATGTTATTTTTTAAAAAGCACCTATTATGGCCTAACGCCATTACTGACCCAATATTTCTCATGATACATGTATTTTGGGCAACCTAGGTCATTGCAAACAGATTGCCCATGGATATATTTCAAAAAGTAGTGTTTTATAGAACTTTCTGTATACATGCTTCTGGACTGTTTGAGAGACTACAGTGCTCCAAAGTCTAACCTTTAAAGGTATAGAGAAGAGGAGGCATTGTTATGAGTTCCGAGGTCATCCTAGCAAGCAGCTTACTTAGACCACAGTGTCTGATACCTGTCTGCTTAGTTTTGTCCTAGGTGCTGTATCTCCAGCTGTCGTGGTGCCTTCAATGCTCCTTTTGCAAGAAGGAGGCTTCGGTGTTGAAAAAGGGGTCCCCACTTTACTCATGGCTGCTGGCAGCTTTGATGACATTTTGGCCATCACTGGCTTCAACACGTGCTTGGGTGTGGCCTTTTCCACAGGTAATCTCACATGCTGGTCTCTTGTGCTACACAGGTGGAGTTAACGCGCTTAACCTAGGGCATGACTGCTTAAGGCAATGCCTGAGAGGAAGGTGCTGGGTCCTTCCCCAGAGCCATAACAAAACGGAAGGTGCCGTCTCTCTCTCTCTTTGGCCTTGTAGATGAGTAGGGAGAGGAGATGCAGGGTAATGAGGCTTATAGAGGAGTCATGTCTTTCAGGAGAGGTCTAGGAAAGTTTAAGTGTAGAAACCACACAAAGGTGAGGAGGTTTTGCAATAGGCGCCTAAGCATAGCACTTCAGGAGGGAGAAGCAGAGCGATTCTAAAATGGAGCACTTCCTATTCTAACATGGAGCACTTCCTATTCTAACATGGAGCACTTCCTGTCCTCCCCTCTTCAGCCTTTAGTCAGGCCCTTGTAAGTCCACAAGGTTTTACAATGCTACTTTCTTGTTCTGTAGCTAACAATGTTCCCTGCTTCCCTGGAAAGATGTGGTGATAAGTGTCTTTAGTTTAGCTCTACTATACAACTCTAGGTGGACTTATATTCCCACTGTTTCCTTTGTGTGGACCTTTAGAGCAACAGTTCTCCGCCATAGCTATACAGTAGCATTGCCCAGGGAGCTTTAATTTTCTTTCTTTCTTTCTTTCTTCCTTCCTTCCTTCCTTTCTTTCTTTCTTTCTTTTTTTTCCTTAACATGTAGACATTATCTTAGGCCAATTAAAAAAGACACCCTTGGGAATGGAAGCCAGTGTAGCCATGACTAGGAACCATGGCTTCCAAGCAACAGAGTTTGCCTTAGGGTCACAGAGCAAATAAGAACCAAAGGCAGACAGGAATTCTTAGAGGAATGTTTTCAGCTTTCCATAGCTCAAGAATCTTCCCAGCTGGCTGTTGTCTCGCCTCTGCCAGCCCCTCACAGAGGTTTTGAATTAGAACCTGAACGACAGAATCTTTAGGTAGGGGCCCAAGGATTTCTGTGTGTTTGTTTGAAACAATCTTTTGTCATACTGGAAACTGTATTAGTTATATTCTAGAATACATTCTTTCTTCCCCTTTTTTAATAGTTTTGTTTTGCTTTGCTTTTTATTTTAAGAAAGCCTTTCCCTGTGTAGCCCTGGGTGTTCTGGGCTCGGTACACCAGGCTGGCGTCGAACTCAGAGATCCTCCTGCTTCTGCCTCCAGAGTGCTGGGGTAAAGGTGTGCACCACCACACCTAGAAACCTTTGAGTAGATATTTAAAGTCACCCATCGTAGAAATGTGGAGAGTATAAGGCTGCAGTGATGGCTCAACAGTTAAGAGCACTGTGTCTCCCAGAAGACCAATTAAGATCCCCCAGTACCCACATGGCAGTTCACATCGTCTTTAACTCCAGGGCCAGGAGATATGAGGCCCTCTCCTGGCCTCTTTGGGCATTGCATGCATGTGGTACACAGCCATCCATCCAGGCAAAACAGCCATGCGCATAACATAAATTTTAACAATGTGAAGCATGGGAAATGTCTGTAAGAACTCCCCTATGCTTGGTCATGTGATCTAGCTTGATGATGTTAGACTAAAGCTTGTGTACTTGTGGATTTAGAGTCCTGGCTAAAGCTTTTCCTTCTCCATGTTTTTCAGGCTCCACAGTTTTCAACATCTTCAGGGGCATTTTGGAAGTGGTAATTGGCGTGGCTACTGGATCTTTTCTTGGTTTTTTTATTCAGTACTTTCCAAGCAGTGACCAGGTAAAAGAAGCAATCTGAGAAAACCGTGCTGTAAATCGTCAATGGAAGAAACTTCTATAACACCTTCCTAAAAGCTGGATGTGCAGGACATAGTTAAGGAAATGGCCCCTTTTTTTAAATTTCTGATTGACCTATTGGTGTTGTGCATGAACCTGAGGAGAGCCACACACATAAGGTTCTAATGCTGCTCTGGAACTTTCCTATGTATAATTATATTATGCACATTTATATAATCAATGTAACTATATAACATATTTATATATAATACATAATATATGTCTTACATTGCGTACATTTCAAATTTCATTAGTGATTAGTTACAAAATAACAGGATGTGTTCTTTTTCAGGAAGTGTGTAGAATTCAACTAAATCAAGACTTACAGTGGATTTTTACACTCAGTTTAGTATCAAAATACTTCAAACAGATAAGACTTCCAACATCTCATTGTAGTATAGTAAAACATCTCTCTTCAAGATCAACTTTCTTAGTGAGAAGCAAAAGCTTATTTCTCTCTACTCTCCTAATTCTTCTAACATCAAAAAAAAAAAAGCACATGGAAATGTTATCTTTATAAAATTTACATTATTTTGAAATTCCTGGACATTAGTAATCGCATTGGAAACTTAACTAAAGCAAGTGTTGTATGCAGAACATTCTTTTTTTCCATCTAAATCCTAGGTATAACATAATCAATTCTTAAAAATTAGTTATTTGAAACAATCGATCTGATCCATGTTTTTCTCCTCCAGGGCAACCTTGCATGGAAGCGAGCCTTCCTGATCCTGGGCTTTGCTGTGTTAGCTGTGTTCAGCAGTGTTTATTTTGGCTTCCCGGGGTCAGGAGGACTGTGTACATTGGTCATGGCTTTCCTTTCAGGCATGAGATGGAGTGACAAGAAGGTGAACTTCATTGTAATTTCATCTGCTCATGACTCTTTTTGATAAAAAGTCTTTTCAACTCTTTCTTAATGTTGTATTAACAAACATTTTCATCATAAGAGCCATTTTCTATACAAATACAAATGTATACCCACTGTCCAAATGCATATACCATTTGCTCATACATACTAATCATTCTATGACTTAATATCTTTACTTAAAATATACTATGATCATGATCCATCTTTATTCCTTTATAAATGCAGGGCATCATACTAGATGGCTGGACCATATTTAATATGACCAGTTCCTTCTTTCCTTCCTTCCTATCATCTCCCTTTCTTCCTTTCTTCTTCCCTTTTTATTTATTTATTTATTTATTTATTTATTTATTTATTTATTTTTGGTTTTTCAACACAGAGTTTCTCTTTGTGTTGCCCTGGATGTTATAGTAATATTTTGTGAGACAATCAGGTTCTATCTTGGGGTATTTTACTAACCTGATAGGTGAAACATGTGCCCTGTTCTGATCTAATTTGTTTCTCCATACATGAATCAGTCGCCATTTCATAGAACGACTAAGTGGTACAAAACAGCCTTATTTGAGTTATATTTGCATACTTTCCTTAACTATGTAACACCAGTCAACCTAAAATTACTAGTCTTTATTTTATTTATTTATTTATTTATTCATTTATTCATTCATTTATTAGACAGAGGGAAGTATATCATATTCTGAACTCAATTTTACTGAGTAATTAAGTTCTTGAACTCCCGATCTTTCTATCTCACAGAGCTTGGAGTTAATCTGTTTGGCTTGATTATCTACATTTGGCTAGGTTGACTGCCTGGCCACAAAGCTCCTGGGATCCATCAGTGCCTCTGATTTATTACTTACAGATCTCAAATCCCTATCCCAAATCAAATAATTCAATTTTTTTGGCAATTATAGCTGTACATTATAAAGTTTTCTTTGCTTCTCTTTTAGTCAGAAGTAGAAAAGATAATTGCAGTCGCCTGGGACATTTTCCAGCCCCTTCTGTTTGGCTTGATTGGAGCAGAAGTATCTATTGCATCCCTCAGACCAGATACTGTTGGTAAGAATTTCTCAATGGTCCTTATGCTAAAACTCTATCTTTAAGTCCAAATTTGGAATATCTTCAGTAGATATTTGTTTACAATTGTCACAATTATGTAAAGAATTAGTTATGATCTGTCTTTAGAGAAGTTAGCTAAAGAATAATGCTTGTTACTCTGAGTGAAAACTCAGGCCCACCGCACCCCCAACATAAAGATATTCATCTAGCCTCATCCTGACCAAGAGCTAAAATTTTAAAGGTACTAGTTAATTCTTCAGTGTGTTCTCATGGCTTGGAAGTGATTGTTATTCGTTCTTTCTTCTGTGTTCTACATTCAGGCAGCGTCATGTTACGATCTTCTCCGTTAACAGCACTGCACTTTCAATTAGCTAATTTGTAAATAATCATTCCCTCTCCTTCCACCCCAATATTCTTCCACCCATACCAGGAATCCTGTTCCTTGCTACCCCCACTGAATTGTAAATATTTCCCCTTATTCTTACTCGTCTCTTAAAAACACGAGTGTACAGATAGATGTAGTACTGCGTGTTGAGTGTAAACACAGGCACACCCACGACCAAGGCGCCCATGTGGACATTCAGGATGCAGAGCTCACTTCCCACTCTGTCGGAGCAGACAGGGTGCTGTGCTGCATGTCTTGGCCTGAAATCTCTACATGGATACATGTATCCTGGTATCCGAAGAGTTCAGAGGAAAGCACTGGATGCCCTGGAACCACAGTTACAGATAGTTGTGAGCCATCACACGTGTGCTGGGAACGGAACCTGGGCTCTGCAAGAGTAACAGCTATTCTTAACCACTAAGCCATCTATCCGTCCTCGCCTCGAGTCATTTAATACAGTCATGTTAAAGCAGTGGTCCTCAACCTTCCCACTGATGCAACCTTCAGTATAGTGCCTCATGCTGTGGTGACCCCAACCACAAAATTAATTTCATTGCTACTTTATAACTGTAATTTTGCTACTGTTTCAAATTGTAGTGTCAATATATGATAGGCGGGGTGTCTGATATTTGACCCCTGTGAAGAAAGGGTCGTTTGACCCCCAACAGAGTGTTGACATAAATGCTGAGAACCACTGTATTAAATAAACACATGGAAGAAACTGTGGATCTTGCTGTAAAGTGTAAGGCGTTGTTTCCACCCCAGTGCATAAGGTACTGACAGTGGCTTGATGGATCTCAAAATATGAGGAAGGCAGACGCATCAACATCTAATTAAAATTTCCTTTGTAAGAATCCAAATGTTTGATTAATCCTGGTTTTATAAAGGAAAGATTTCAAACAATGGTATGACCGATCTTATTGATTTGTCAGTTATGTGTAACTATTTTTGTATTTAATGTTTTGACATTGTTCCTATTGATAGTATTTTGAAATGTAAGTTTCCCAACATCTCATTTTTTTCTAAAACCTGAATATTTCTTTCAGGTCTTTGTGTTGCAACCCTCAGCACTGCTGTATTGATACGAATTTTGACTACTTTCCTGATGGTGTGTTTTGCTGGTTTTAACATAAAGGAAAAGGTCTTTATTTCTTTTGCCTGGCTTCCAAAGGCCACGGTCCAGGTAAGCAATGCTTATAGAAAGGCCTATCATTTTAACTCTTACTTCTGTATGACACCTTAAAAACTGAGTAAGACTTACCCAAGTTGGTAGATGTAAATAGTTCATAAGTGATAGAAATAAGTGAGTGAACACGTGGTTGAAAAGTTGGGTTTGCGAAGATTTTACACTAATCTATTCTAAAAGTTTCATTTGTGATGCCCCATTTAAATTTCTTTGGGTCACCAAGGTGAAAGTTAAAAATCCAAAACCTCCATACAGACTAGAAAGCAGCCATGGCCAGAGAAGAGGATTTGAGCTTTAATTATTTAAAGCACCAAGTCACCTAAAAAGAACTACTTTAACTCCTCTTATCTCAGATCTCTCAAGAAGGGAAAGAGGGAGGGGAGGGGAGGGAGGGAGGGAGGGAGGGAGGGAGGGAGACAGGGAGGGAGGGAGGCTAGTAGGAAAGAGGGAGTGAGCATGGCTCATCTAATGTTTGGAAATCTTTCAGAAGTCATATATATGATTGATGATAAATTACACTCATCCAGATCTTTATACATAATGAAAGAAAGAGTAATTAAAAAGGAATTAAGATTTTTTGTTTGTTTTGTTTTCTGAGACAGGGTTTCTCTGTAGCCCTGGCAGTCCTAAAACTCTCCCTGTAGACCAGGCTGGCCTCGAAATCAGAGATCTGTCTGCTTCTGCCTCCTGAGTGCTGGGATTAAAGGTGTGCACCATCACACCCAGCCTGAAAAGCAATTTAGAAATGCTTAACAGTGGTTTCCCTTCACCCATGGTTATCACTCAGGGCCTTTGTGAATTCTGGTGGCCGTGGCCTAAAAATATTAAATGGGAAAAATGACAGAAATAAACACGTTTCAAATGCATGCCATTTTGAGTACCACTGTTAAATGTTGCTTGCTATACCTTGCTTTGACTGCCATGGGACATGAGTGTGCCTTTGTCCACCATATCTACCTTGTAGACGCTGCTTATCATTTCATAGATGTTTTAACTGTCAAATTGACTGTTGGAGCATCCAAGTGCCAAAGGGCAAGAGTTGTGATTATAGCAATTTGCACATGCAAAGAGGAGTCATGAGGTCCTTTCCTTAAGGGTAACAGGCAAAAATTCTTAATAAGGTTAAAAACAAAGTATATTGAAAATTTGATGCTATCCATGATCTACTGGGGACCTTGTAACTATCACTCATTGTTAGAGGGATGTGGCACATATTATAACTGTTCTTAATAATAAAAACTCGGAGTCAAGTACCAGGGGGTAAAAGCTGAAGGATCACAGAGCAAACACCCACTGGAGTTCTTACCTGTAGCAATGCTCAGACCAAAGGTGTGATCCTGTCCTCAGACTGCATCCTCAGACTGACTGCTCCTCAGACTGCAATGAGCTCCTGTCTCCTCCTGCCTTATATTCCTCTCTCTGCCTCCTGTCTCCACCTCCTTAGTGCTGGGATTAAAAGCCTATGACTCCCAAGTACTGGGATTAGAAGGTGAGCTGCCTGGCTCTTTTCTCTTTTAGACTGGATCAACTTCATGTAGCCCAGGGTGGCCTTGAACTGTTGCCCGAGTGCTGGGGTTAAAGGTGTGTGTCACCACTGCCTGGCCTCTACCCCTAACTAGTGTGGCTAGTTCTGCACTCTGATCTCCAGCCAAGCTTTATTTGTTAGGTCATACACAAAACATTGCCCCAGGAGAAGACTTTTGTATTGATTTCCTAAATGAGTAGTTGATAGTGACTATTCACAGCTAGCTGAACCTCATGGCAGTAGCTCGGTCACTTAAACCAAAAGGTGTACATTCAAATACATAAGTGATAAAGAAATTAATACAGGTAACCATTTGACTTTGTTGAGCATTTGTTTATTAGGATATCTCAAAATGCTAATTAAATTAGAATTGTATAAGTTATAATTTCTTAGAAATAGTGTAGCTCTATATGATTGTACTATCTATTTTCAAACTAATTATATTACATAACTTAAGCATCTTATAGACAGTTTTGTAGTTCTTGGAGTAAGCAGACTTTTACCTTCATGCAATGAAAATCAGGTATGTTAATTTAAGGGGATTGTGAGAATGCATGCATGCTGTGATTACATTCTAGGCCTATATGGCTGTGGGCTGGGGTTCTAGTCATTCGAGAGATTTTTTTTTTTTAAATCAGGCTGCCCAAGGCATCTAAAACATCGAGGCAAAGAAGAGCTGTGTAGAACAAGAGATGGGGTAATTTGTCTGACACAGTAACTCCAGTTTCCACACTACTAGTAACATTAGTAGGTCAATATCAAAATAATGATGTCATCTTTTCTTTTTTTTTAATGTTAAATTGAAGGTGGATACTCTTTTACCATGAAAACTGTTTTTAAAATAAGGATAAATTATATATATATATATATGTATATACATATATATATATATAATATGTTGGGTACAGTATGTCTTGTGGAGGCAGTCACTCCTGAATATCCTCCAGGAATGAGTTTAAAGACTCTCTATGGATACCAAGTCTGCAGACACTCAAGATATTATATAAAAGCTTATTGTCTGCATATAACTTAAGCATATCTCCTATTCGATTTCAATAATCTCTTAATTACTGGTCATACAATGTAAGTAGTTCTTGTATTATGTAGAGAGGAAGGATGATGAAAAAGTCTGCACATATTCAAACAGATGCAAATTTCTGAGCTGTGGTTAGTTGGATTTACAGATAAAGAATAGCTATAGAACGAATGCATTATCATGTATGGAATTTCAGTTTTTCTTCTGTTGTCACTACATAAAAATCAAGGAGGCTTATGTGTGTATGTATACAATTATATATGTATACAAATATATATGTATAGAAATATATATGTATTTCTTAATACTTTATGATCTGTTATAAGAAATATATGTATATATAAAGATATTTTTAAAATATCATATATTTTAAATCACAGTTTGGCATGAACACATACCCTAAAACATATATATACATATATACAAAACGGAAGAAATAGAACTGGAAAAAATGCATATTGCAATGCAACAAGTGGTCTTTGTCAAAAATTTATAAAATGTTCAATTACTTATTAAACATGATAAACCGTAATAACAAAGAGCCTAACAAGTACCAAAGGAAGTGAATGAGCTAGACTTTCTTTTTATTTTCTTTCCAGAAGTCTGGTATGGACATTCCAGAGCTAACAGGGTGGCTACCACTCTCAACATGCGCCTCTTACTCATAGGTTCAGCCTGCGCTGCCTTTTCTTCCAGTGGGAAAGGGGCGGGTACATGTGTTCATTCTGTTTTGGGTAACAATCCATGTCAGTGTCTCATCTCCACCAACCACTCAGTGGACAGAGCACAGATACAGTTACCCTAGTTACTGAAGAGACAAGAAACACGAGAGCTCTGTTTTATCACCAATGTGACCAGCAGAGAGAGGGGCATTCAGACACCTACGGGCACCTAGATTCTGTCACTATGTGACTGATACACATTTTCTCTTTATTCTATTATATTAGAAGCAAGCATTGCTCTTCACTTGGGATAAGGAATTAGCCAGATGGATTAATGTACCTTTCCCTGTGTGAACTAATAACAACTGCATTTTGCCCTAAGAGAAAATAAGAATTTTTCATAATACATTCCAACAGATACATATAAACATTTCACCAACTGAATATCTAATAATTTAACATCTCTACCACTCTCATGTTTCATACTGTTTAAGAATTAGTGTACGCTCCAGAGAAAATATATGCTGATTCAAAATACCACCCACTTCTAATAAATGTAATCGCCCCTTTAAGCTTTTTATTTATTAAAGTGATGTGAACAGGTACCAGATTTTTTGCCAAAAGACCAAGACATGATAAGTGTTTTCTTTATTAATACAAATTCTTAGTTAAAATATAAAACAACAGTAGCTTCCATCTTTTGTAAGGAAAATTTATCATGTACAACAATATTTGATTAATACTGTGGGTCTGTTTTCCCCTAATACTTTGAAATGCACAGACTGATAGTATATGACCCATGTGTACCTATCGCATAAGAAAGTGTTACTCTCCATGGAAGGGCAGGGAGACTTTGTAGATAATCAAACCAACCTTAATACACTTTGAAAGAAGACTAATTTGGATTAGTTGAGCAAAAGGAAAATCTTGTCTTATGCTTCTAACCTTATGCTAAAACTTTCATAGGCTGCCATTGGGTCTGTAGCTCTGGATACAGCGCGATCCCATGGAGAGAAGCAGTTAGAAGAATATGGAATGGATGTGTTGACGGTGGCATTTTTGGCCATCCTCATCACAGCACCAATCGGAAGCCTACTGATTGGTTTGCTGGGTCCCAGACTTCTTCAGAAATTTGAACATCAAAATGAAGAGGAAGTTCAAGGAGCATCTTCTGCACACGTTCAGAGGTAAGGAAAGGAAAATGCTGAGTGCTGTTTCCAGAAGCTAACTGTATCAGGATGGAAATGGAAATACATGGTGTTGAGGTTCTAAATGTATTAGAACCAAACAACGTGCAGTGAAGAAACAAAGGAAAAGACCAAGATCCACACCCTGCCGTTCCCCAGAGCTTGCACTCAGTTACCATTAGCTGTCAATTTCATGCCGAGAATCAATTTTAGTTTCTCTTCCTTTCTTACTTTTCTTACACCAAACTGCAGTCAGCAGTTTCTGGCCTCACTGCCCTGCTGCTCTGCTCTGCCCCCAGCCCGTTTGCCTTTCAGTGAAGTGTTGAAGCTGATTGGTCTTGCTGACATTTTAAAGCAAATGAAGAACCTTCACTGATACTTGGCTCTTACCTTTTCAGATGTCAACAGAAAAGAGGGACAGAGTGTTAGGAGTAGGTTTTCCCTGCAGGCTTGGACCCACAGCTGCACCAGCCTCAAATAACACACAGAGACTCTGTATTTGATATAATGCTGTTGTCCAGTTACTAGTTTCTTATCAGCTAGCTCTGTCTTAATTATTAACCCATTTCTATTAATCTAAGTACTGCCACGTGGTCTTATCTTACCGGAGAGAGGGCTGGCATTCTGCTCTCTCCATCTTCCATATCGGATCTCCTACTACTACTTCCGGAATCCTCTTTGTCCTGCCTATCCTCCTTTCCTATTGGCCAACAGTGCTTTATTCATTAACCAATGCGAGAAGCATATTTACAGAATGACATCTCCCATCAACAGAGAGAGGAGTAGGGAGGGAGAGAGGAGAAAGAAAGAAAGAAAGAAAGAAAGAAAGAAAGAAAGACAGGGAAAGAGGGAGGAAGGGAAGAAGGGAGAGCAGGAGGGAGGGAGGGAGATCTAGGACGATGGGAAAGGGGAGGGAAGTCACACATAGTAGCTTACATCTGTAATCCCAGCACTCTAGAAACTCAGGAAGACTTCTGTGAGTTCAAGTCCCACCTGAGCTACATTCTGAGTTCTAGGCCAGCTAGGGATATTCTCAAAAAAAAAAAAAAAAAAAAAAAAAAAAAATGCAAACTCAAAGCAGAAATCTTTATCACCTGGCTGCCTGTCCAGCTGCCAATACTCAATTTAGTCTTCCTTCCTCAATAAAGGTGTCTTGATGCAATCTTTTTTGTTTGTTTCCTATGGATGACATCGCCTGGCTCCTCCAGGTCTCCAGTAGACAGCATTAATTTTCAATTCTTTGCCAGCCCCATGTAGTAATTGAGGCACTACACACAGCTTTAATGAGGAAAAGCTAAAACGTACTTAACATAGAATATTGCTTCTTTCTCTTGAAACTGGCTGGTTGATTAATGCTGACACGGGCTCTCTGCTCATGGAACACCTCTGATGCTAGTGTCTATCCATCATGCAGCTCTGCCGTACCACAGTTCAGGACAGAAGTTAGGATAGATCTGCACCACTTGTCCTTGCAAGGCCCAGGAAGCAGGAAGAAAGATGGAAACTGTGTTATTTATATTCTTTTGAGACAAGGTCTCAAGCCAGCCTGCATATACATAGAGATCATATCTCAAAAAAAGCTTATACAGACTAGGGAGATAGGCCCATCACTAAAGTGTTTGCTTTGCACCAATAGAAACACCTCAACACTGGTTAAAAAAAAAAAAAAAAAAAAAAAAAAGCTGGATGTAGTAGTGTAGGACTTTAACTCCAGTGCTGGTGGGAGGTGGGAGTTGGAGTGTGGGCAGAGAAAAGTGACTCCCAGGGGCAACCAGTCTAGCCAATCAGTGAGCACCAGCTTTAATGAGCTGGTCTGTTTTGAAAACTCAGTAGAGAATAATAGAGCAAAATACTCAACATTGACCTCCATTGTCCACCAACCATGCAGAGCACATACACGTGCGCGCACACACACAAACACACATACACACACGCACACAGCAAAACCTTTACAAGAACCCTTGGAAAATGATACCTTCTTTCTCAAGAAGTTATAACATTATAACATGCCAGAAGAGAAAGAATGAGGGCAAGTCCTACCTGCATAGACCACAATTTATCCCATATTCCAACAGACCATCTTTGACCTTTGTATATCACCCATTAATTATTCCATGTCATTCTAGTCGCCTGTTGCTTAGTGGGTAACCATGTTCAAATACAGTTTTAGGTTTCATGGTGTTGTACACTTACCTCGGGTGTTTCTTTTTTCACCCTTCATACCTAAGGTAATTATTTTCAGCTAGAATTCAAGGTGCATTTTAATATTGCAGTATACATGACATTCGTGGTGAGTGAGTGAATTGTGAGTGTTCTCACCCCATCCTGTGAACTGTAAAGGAGGGCCATGCATGGTAGCTCACATCTTTAACATCAGCACTGTCTGCTCTTCTCTTACAGACTACTGTTACACCCTGGGACAGGTAGATTCACAACTCTGGTTCTCCTGGGACATGTAGATTCAAAACTCTGGTTCTAACTGGTTCACTTAGATGTCAAAAAAAAATTATTCTGTGGCATAGTGTTTTGTATTTTCTGAGTGCTGTGCTCACAGTGTAGACTGTATTTATACCAAAGGTTGGATGTGTGGTAAAGGTTGAAGCAAACATCATTGTTAGGTGTGTTTTGATGATCACCATAATGTCCATCTGTTTCAGACTCTGAAACTACCCCTTGTCAACAAATAGTTATTTCTGGGAGATTAGCTCCAGAGCCCACTCAGATACTGAGATCAATGGATGCAAAAGTTCTTTATATAGCATACTATATTTACATGTAACATGTACATGTCCTCCTATTTGCTATATTTTCATATGACATGCACATGTCCTCCTGTGGGCACCCTTTGTTTATATTTGAATAGATTTCCTGCATATTTAACTATTTCTTTGTGCCGGGAATAAACATGACAGCCAATTGTAGAGGTCAGAAAAGACTCTCTACCACAAAGTGGAATCTGGGCATGGAATTCAGGCCACTAGAACCATTGCTTTTGAGCCTTGGTTAGAGGAGAGCAGGCAGCATGGAATTCAATAGTGCAAAACTGCTTAGCTCACTCCAGGAACCTTCAAAGGCTCATGCCCTCCAGGACCCACTTCTTATAGCTTCTCCCACCTAAGCAGAGCTACAGCCTGAGGACCAGCCCTTAGGATATGGGTCTTTTGGGGACATTTTCAATCCAAGCCATAACAGATCTTCACGATGAACTTAGAAAGGGATGGGACCAGTATGGTGTGACCTTGTTGGAGGAAGTATGTCCCTGTGGGGGTGGACTTTTGAGGCCTCCTTTGCTCAAGCTATGCTCAGTACTACACACAGTTGCTTCTGATGCCTGAGGATCAAGATAAAGCACTCGCCACCAGCCATGGTGATAATAGACTGAACCTCTGAACTGTAAGCCAGCCCCAATTAAATGTTTTCCTTTACCAGAGTTGCTGTGGCCATGGTGTCTCTTCACAGCAATAGAAACCCTGACTAACACAGCCAGCAAGGAGGTAAAAGTGCTTGCTCCCAAGCCTGACAACCTGAGTTTGATCCTGAATCCAATAGGTAGAAGACAAGAACCAGTTCCATCGAGTTGTCCCCTGAATCCCACATACCACACTGTAGGATGAGCACATGCACACACAATAAGTAATAAACAAACAGACAAATAAGCTGTTTTGTGTTGGGAAAAAGATAGAAAATGCAGTTGTCCATCTAAGTAGTCTGGACTTTTTACAATAATAGTTGCTTTCATCTATTTTAGGAAGCCTGGGGATTCCATTACAGAAGCTTGATGGACCAAGTTTACCATCCCAACCCAAAGGTTTTGGCTCACCTTCAACCAGAGCAACTCTATTTCTCTTTGTTTCAGATGAAAAAATTCCCCTATGAAATTTCATATGATACACTTCTTCTTATAATATTAAAAGCTTTTCATATAAAAAAAGCAATGATTTTTTTAAAAAAAAATTAGAACTTTACTATAGTTTTATGAACAATCATCCAATGCAGGAGTTTTCTTTTTTTTTTTTTTTTTTTCTATTTTTATATCTATGTGGAATGAAAGCAAAAGTAAAACTGTTTAAGGAAACAAGGGGGACTGATGGGGGAGGGGCCGAGAGTAGGGAAAGTAATAGGGGTGGGGCACATGAAAATTTCTTAACTTAAAATTTAAAAAAATTCTTGAACTGTAAGAAAAACAGAGAACATGAAGAGGATGAGAAAAGTAGGAGATGATGGGATTTAAAATAAGAGACACACTGTTTCTTAGGTGAGAACAAAACATGGCTATGGAAACTTTCCTAATTTAATTAGTATAATTCAAACCAGAAGCCAAGGGATATTTTTTCTGGGAGAACAAGAACAGTTAATAGGATCTATCTAAATTACACTTGCTGAGCAATTCCTACCATATTTCCTGAGGTTTTTCAGTTTGTTCAGAGTTCTTGAAGGCCAACACTATTTCTATGCACACATCTTTGCTGGGGTGTGATGTGTCTGGGACATGGAGTTCTCATTCTACCTCACTGTAATCAGTAATCAGCTTCTCCCAGGGCTGACTTCTCTGAGACAGGACGTACTTGGACAATATGTTACATTACTATTTTTTTTCTCATTACATCATGGTCAAAAATACCTGTGCAATTTTTTTAAACTTTTAGAGCATATTGAAGTTTTCTTTTTGATATCATAAATGGGTTTTTTAAGGTTTGTTTAAAATATTAAAACATATATACAAATAGATCAATAAGAGGGAAAAGACAACCCGTAGATGGATGGACACACTCAAAGGCAGCCATGTGATCTTTGAGAAAAGGACAAAGTACCTCAGAGAAGACAGGATGTCCCATCAACTATGCATGAGGGGCACCCGGACACTCACAAACATTTCATAAGCCCAGAGTGACACCGCACATGTGTGGTCCCCGTTGCTCAGGAGGCTGAGGTGGGGGATGGCATGCCTTCACCAGCCCAGGACCTGCTTGGCATACACATCTTAAAAGACAAAATAAGTCATAGACATAAACGTAAATAATAAAGATAACACAGAAGAAAACACACGAGATGGATTAGATCTCTCACTCTGAGAGGGTATATGAGTGACAGACAAGATGGTCACATATCATGATGGAGTTACAAAACTAAATAAAAACTACCACATACTACTTATAATGTTATTATGTTAGAATGAGGAAAATCTAACCTGTAAACAGTAAATTCCAGCAAGAATGTGGTCAACAGGCCCCCTCACTGCTGACAGATAGGAGTGCAAAATAGCGTGGCCACTTTGAGAACAATGTGATGGTTTCTTAGTAAAATAAACATTTATCACATGTTCAAGTGACTGGTTCAGTGATATTTTTACTCAAAGGAGTTAAAAATGTATATATAGAAAAACTTATTCATGTGTGTTTCTCGTATTCATAATTGCCAAAACTTAGAAAGAATCAAAATATCTTCCCACAGGAGAATGGATAAACCTACATATACTATTAATAAGGAATTGTTTTTTTTTTTAAAAAAATATGTTTTAAAAAAATTTTAAGCACAGCAAAACCAACCAAATAAATAAATAAAAATTAAAGGGCTGAGGCTGGGGATGCAGCTTGGCTGGTAGAATGCTGGGCAGCAAGTATGAATACAGCAAGTGCTGATCCCAGCATGGTAGAAACCATGTGTGGTGGGTCAAGCAAGTATGTGCAGCACCCTGCGACTTGGGCTCTTGGAGAGACACATTTATTGTTCAAGATGCTAGCATAAAACAAGGCTGAAGAAAACAGCCTTAAAAATGGGGGAGGGGGAGGACTGGAGTTAATCTCAATTAGAGAATCCTCTTGTTGACAAGTCTCTTCCAAAGCCCCCAAAAGTTGAAGCAAAGGCATGTTTATTAACATGCAAGGACTTGGCATTAGAAACATTGTAAACAGGGAAGAGCAATGCCAGCTAGCAAGAGCCTTGCACAGACACAGGGAAAAGCTGGGCAGAACTGAAAAGGCAACTAATACTATCAATTACACTCCAGTTCCTCTGGGTGTAATAAGCCGCCACTTATCCAGAGGGTGTTTTGCAAGCGCTGGGCTGCTGCACTTACACCCCACTCCCCTGACATCCCCAGCATAGCTGCTGTTTTACCCTCCTTTCCCATATAAGACCATTTTGTAGGTCTTGTCTACACGGGATATGCACTTGTTTTTAAAAACGGTTCTGGCGGTTGGTTCTTATTGTTTTGAGTAAGGATTTCACATAACTCAAGCAGGCCTTGACGTTGCTAGGTAGCCAGGGATGATCTTGCTCTTGTGAGCACCCTTTATCCACATTGCTTATACTGGGCTTACAGGCATGTACCACCATGTGGGCCTTTATGAGGAGCACGAGACTGAAGCCAGAGCCTGTGAGACCAGATCCAAGGAACGCAGGAACGCAGACTGGTGTTTGCTTCTTTTTTTCCTCCTCCTCTTCTTCCTCATCCGCCTCCTCTTCCTCCTCCTGTCTCCCTTCCCCTCCTGCTGCTGTTCCTCTCCTCCCCCTCCTCCTCATCTCTCCATCCTTTCTTCATCCCTAACCAATATGACTGTTAAGAATCACTCAGCTCCAGGTAACACCAGCAGGAAACTAACACAAAACACTGACAAGCAGTGATCAGAAGTTTGTGCACCCACAGAGTGCAGAGGAGTCACCCAAACCGGCCTTGAAGGGACAGCTCCTTGTCATGCTCTGCTCTGTCCTTCCCCCGTATGCATCTGACCATTAAACCCACACCACAGCTGCTGCTCAGAAAGAGGAGCAGGAGCCAGCACCTCCTGAGAGGCATCACCTTGCCCTTCAAGGAAGAAACCCTCAGAAAGTGCAGCCTGCATCTCCCTGGCCGGATCTGTGTGGTGGCCAGCCTGGCAACAAAGGAGGCTAGGATTCGATAGCTTTGTTTTGTAGCCTTCACAGCGCAAGAGGCCATGGCAAAGTGTGCCGCACACGCATTGAGTGCCCCGATTTATGTAGCCTTCTTTTGTTGTGGTGTGTATTTTTAGTGACAGTAACTGCATGGGTTTATTTTGGGAGCCTCTGTTCAATTCTATTCAGTATATCTGTTAGTGCCAGGACTGTGCTGTTTTTCTTCCTGTGGCCGTGTAGAAACACTTGAAATAATGTATGGTAAGATGTCCATCATTGTTCTTTTGGATCAGGTTGCTTTGGCTCTCCAGGGTCTGTTATGCTTGAATTTTACATTTTTTTCTACTTCTGTGAAGAATGGATTTGGGCTATTAATGGGGCCGCATCAAGTCTGTATTTTGCTTTTGGCAGCATAGACATTTTCACAAGGTAAATTCTTCTAACCCATGAGCATGAGAGAGAGCTTTCTGTCTCCTACTATTTTCCTGAGGCAATTATAAATGGGATTCTCTTTCTTGTTCTTTAGTATGTTTGTTAATATGAAGGGTACTGATCTTTGTATGTTAATATTGTATTCTGCCTCTGCTAAAAGTATTTATCATATGTAAGAATTTTCTGCTGGAGTCTTCAGGATCTTTTGTGTGTAGAATAATATTATCTGTAAATAAGGATAATTGGATTTTGTTGTTTACTGTTTATATCCCCCTTATTTTTAGGCTTTTTTTTTTTAATTGTTGATTCCTTGTGGATTTCACATCACGATTCCTGATCCCACTCATCTCCCCATTCCTTCATATCTGCCCTCTGCCCTCGTAACCTCCCCCAACAAAAAATACATGTAAAAGACAAACAGACCTTTTCAAACAGCTGATATTACACAAAAGATCTTTCAGATCCAATTCAGGTGTGATGGTCTCTACGGAACATCTATTAAGCATTCATTTGAGTGCGGGAAACACAACTCAAATTGGCTTTTTAAAAGGAGGCATTATTGACTTACCTGACAGAAAAAAATATTTACTTCCAGATGTTCCAATAAAGTGGTTATCAAATTGCAGCTGGATCATTATCTTTCCATATTGAGATTATATTGTCCTCTGTGGCTACTTAATTCTTCTTCTTTAGATTCCCCCCCCCCCTTGGGATTCATGAGGATTTTCAATATCCAGGCTTAGCAGCCCCACAGAAGGAAAACTCTTTCACAATGATTGTGAAACCCTCAGAATGTGGAGTCTCCCAGTTTCGGTTGGTATCCCAGAAACTCAATGTCCAGTCCAGCTGCTGCAACATGCAAGAGGCTTTATTGAACAGGAATCATTTGCGCAAACGGGCTCCCTCAAAGCGCAGGCTAGAGAGAAGCCCCCTCCCCCGGGCACAGGTGTTTTAAAAAGCAAAACCCACAAGCTTAGGGAGGGGGTGGGACCCTCTGTCCATTGAGTATGTGACCCTTTGAGGCCTGATGGCCTCGCTGTTAGGGTCAACAGACCTTAGGGCCTCGGGGTGTGCTAATTAATCTTGTCTGGGCAAACCGGAGGTGCAGCTATCTCTTTGTTTCTTAAGGACCCTATTCACCACCTGCTGACTCATGGAAAGGAGGGGCAGTGTGAATTCTTAGTATACTGCTATCTCAGGTCTGGTGGTTAGCAAATTCCACCCAGCATTCCAATTATTTGGGCTTCATTTCCTTTCTTTGCTATTTTAAGTCTTTCATAGACACTACAGACAACCACTCACTAGGCGGGAGTTATGTCTCCTGTGTGAAGCCTTTTCTCAATGGGAGAAGACGCTATCCCATAACCTGTGCTGTCCTCATCCCTGGATCACTGTTAGAGTGTGGGAGCTGGAGGGGCGAGCACAGCCTCATACAGATCGCATGGATAGAGAAGAGAGTGTGTGGATTCCAGAACGGGTGAGGATGGGATAATTTGGGGTTCCAGAGCTACAGATGCCCTGTGAAAAACCACTCATCCCAGCACGGGCTCTCAGATTACTCTTTTCCATCTCTTTGTCACCTGTCCCTCAGGCTGCTCTTGGATGGATGGCCTTTATCATCACACTCTCTTCCTCACAGTGTAGCCCCGACTGTCCCAGAACTCGCTCTGTAGACCAGGCTGGCCTCAAACTCACAGACATCTGCCTGCCTTCGCCTCCTGAGTATTGGGATTAAAGACATGCACCACCACTGCCTGGCTCCAAATTTTAATTTAGAAACCTCTTTGGACAGTTTGCAAACCAGGTGGTCAAGACATTTCAAATTATTTCCAGAGGAGACATAATGGGTCCTGAGTAGAGTCTCCGCAGTATCTCTAAGAGAAAGGATTATAGAATCTGATGGCTTATTCTATGGACCTTAACAGTCATTCTTGCACTTTAAATTTTTTTCTTTGCACCTCTGCCTTCTTATTAGGTAAATCCAAAACCCAACGAGCATGAACAGTAGACATCATGGACACGGTTGCTTTATTTCTATGTTTCCCTAAAGTTAAGTGGGTTTTTTACAAGATAGATACACCATTTTGCCTTCCTGTTTATAGTACCTTTCTGACTTCAAATACGGTTTGACATTCCGAATTATGGGAGAAAAGAGTTTTTTGTTTTTTTTTTTTTAAATCTATAAGTTCCCACACATAGCATACATTTTATGGCACGTTAAGTTTTGATTGTCAAGTTTAGGACAATCACAATTACACAAAGCTTTCCAATGTTTCCTTTTAAACTTCCGTTTCTGTTTGTAAATAGTATTATTCCTGTTGTTCAGAGGCGGCCAAGGTGGCTGATGCTGAGCACTGACAAGGGTGACTTGTTGGCCTATGTAGTTTGACTAACAAAAAGGGTAAAGAAACGAAAACATCTGCCATCTATAGAGTTGGGTTTGAGGCCAGCGAAAGCCACTGACAACCGCAGCACTGTTCAAAAACAAACACAACCCAAAACAAAACACAAAACATCTGGCCTTGAAATGAGGTGAAAAGTGAACCGCGATCCATGCCATTAGGATTTCCTTTAAGGGCCCCGCCCCCGCCCCGCCCCGGAGCCCGCCCTTCTGCTTCCAGAAAGCACAGCTCAGTTTCGGTCTTGGAGGTTGGCTCCCTGGCTTTCCCGACGCCCTGCCCTGCCCTGCCCTGCGCGCGGCTTGTGCGATGACGGTTGCTGGGTTCCTGGGCCGGTGAGACTTGCTAAAGGAATTGTAGGTCCGCCCGGTTTTCTCCATCCTTCTGCTCCAGGTCCTTGGGTACTGTTCCTGCTGTGGCCTCCAGGCGTTAGCTAAGGAAGGCCCCCTCCCTCCCCTCCCCTCCCACCTTCCCTCTCCTCCCATCTTCCCTTCCTTCCCCTCCCTTCCCTTCTTCCTTCCCTCACCTTCCATCTTCCCTCCCCTCTACCCCATCTCCTCCCTGATTCATTTCTTTCCTCCCTCAAAGTGTGTCTCTGGTTTTTCTTTTCTCAACAGCCCTTGCAAGTAAGAAAGAAGAGATCTTTCCATCAAGACCGACGGCAAAATTAACCCACTGGGCAGATGCTGTTTATACAAATGGCGAATCCGGGGAGATGAAGCTTCTTCACATGCACCTGTAATTGCAGATGTGTCCCAGGATTGGTTTCTGATTTCCTGAAGGCTTTCGTTCCTTCCCCCACACCCCTGACCCGGATTTCCCCTTGGACTTATTACACTGGACAAGCAATTAACATCAATGCTTTTGAAGGATTAAGGACTGTAATCGCAACACACAGTGAGTGTGTCGGGCATAGCGTTCAGGATCCCCGACGTGCTCTGTGGTGGCATTGTGCTTGGAATACTACCCTGTTAAGATGCCTTAAAAGCTTGTCACCATTAGGTTGTAAGGTTCCCTGCAGGAACTCAAGGTATCTTAAGACTGCAAACAAACTCCTGAAAGAACAGGTAGGTTGAGCAAAAGAATGCTAAATAGTTGCCTTTAAAATTGATTTTGCATATTTAATAGTTAGAATCCAGCCATATGTATACTTTTTCACACAGTACCTCAAACTCCATGAAAGATCAAATTGATTGATGGAGAGATGCAGTTAGCTCCTAGGATCTCATACTTCTGATTTTCTACAGGGATAAACTGAATTCACTGAGTCAAATAATTGTGGAACAGAAAAAAAAAAAAAAAAAAAAAAGCCTTACTATTGCCTGTGGGGAACTCATTTTCCATTTTCATTATCATGCCTATGAAAGGTATATACAGAAGCTGGGAAGGCAGTTTAGTCTATAGAGAGCCTCTTGTGCAGACAACTACAGAAAACAAAGCAGAATTCAAATACCTATCCTACATATGCCAGGCATCATGGCATGCCTCTATGACCCTAGCTGGAAGGATGAAGACAGATGGCCAGCCAGTCTAACCAGTGGGTGAGCCCCAGGGTCAATGAGAGACCCTGGCTCAAAAAGCAAAAGGAAACAGTTGGGGACATAGTCTAGTGAGAGCATTTTCATGGTGATCATGATGACCTGGGGTCAAGTCTCTGAATTTCAAGAAATGTTCATCACCCCTAGTAATTAGGGGTAAAAGTCATAAGGCATCATAGTATCTGTCATCTATCTATTTAAAATTCTATTTAGTATATATAAGTATACACTTACACATATAGTTTAAGTAAATATTTCCCATCTGGGACGACAGTGTGTATATACTAACAAAACCCCCAACATCAGGCATGAGAAGCCTCTGATTGTTGGTCAGGGTTGTCCAAGAGACTTCTAAACATAAGCTATTGCTCTTGCCGTTGATTGTGTCCCAGAGGTAGAAGTTAAGTCCCTTTTACTTAAGACATGTAACACAATAAGAAAAGACCCAGAGACAGATATTGGGGTTCAAGCTTCAAGCTGAAGATCATATAAGCAAAGCAGCCAGCCACTAGCTCTTACGTCTGTCTCAAGCTGAAAGGGCTCATCCTGTCCCCATGAATCCTCAGGCAAGAAGCTCTCACCGAGCCTCAGACTGCTGCCTCTCCTCACGGTGGCTGGAGAATTCAATGCCATAGCATCCTCAATGTGGCTGGAGAATGAATGCCAGCTCTGAGGCCCTGTTCTGTTTTCAATGAGTCCTGGAACTAAAGATGTGTGATCCCACGTGCTGAGATCATCTTTGTGTAATCTGTTTCTCTTTAGGACTGGATATATTTATTGTAGCTCAGTGTGGCCTTGAACTAACAAGAGATCTGTCTACCTCTTAATCCTGAGTCCTGGGATTAAAGGTGTGTACTACCCCTGTCTGAGCTCTACAGCTTGAGGCTGACTTTGCCTTCTAAATTCTCAGGCAAGCTTTAATGAATCACAAATATCACCACAAAGACACCATGCACTTCATACACAGTACCCTGATGATCTGACCTGGATGTCACCTGAAACCTCCCTGCATGAGGAGTAGCTAAGAAATATCTCAAAAGATGTTCACCATCCCTAGTAATTAGGGAAATACAAAGCAAAACAACCAGGATTTTACCATATCCTAGTCAGAATGGCAAAGATCAACAAATGCTGGACATGTGGAGAAATGGGAACCTTCATTTTTTTTTTTTTTTTTAAATTTTGACCACATTCTGTTCAGATCCTAAACCTATTTTTGAATGGGTCACTTTTTTAATTCATTGTTTTCTAAATTATTTATATGTTCTGGATAGTATCCCTCTCTCTCTGTCATATGGATAGCTGGTAGATTCACTCACATTCCATGGGCTTCCTCTTCACAACATTGTTTCTTTAGCTATGCAGAAACTTTTAGTCTTATGAGGTCCCATTTGTCATTTATTGCCTTTAGTTCCTGGGCAAATGGGATCCAGTTCAGAAAGTCCTTTCCTGTAGGGTATTGCCTATGTTTCATTCTGACAATTTCACATTTAAGTTCTTGGTCTAGTTAGAGCTGACTTTTGTTCTTTTTTGTTTTTTTCTCTTGTCTTTTTTGTTCAGGATGATATATAATTTCATTATTCTGTATGTGAACATCCAGTTTTCTCAGTACAGTTGATACTCTCTTCTCCAGTGTGTTTTTGGCATCTTTGTTGAACACTAAATGGTTGTACTATGGATATTCATGTTTAGGTCACTGATGTCAGAAAGCTCATGCTCTCCTACAACTCCAGCTCTAGGGGAAATCTAATATCTCTGGCCTCTGCACATGCACACACATGCACAAACCCACATGAAAATACACATAACAATTTAAAATTTAAAAACATCTTTAAAAATCTTGTTGCTTTCTAGATTTAGGCCATTATCTTTAGAGAAGGCATGTGCTGTGGTTTCTACTTTTTGAATTGGTTGAGGCTTTTTTATGGTCTGACATATCCTTGAGAATATTCCATGATGAGAATAATGAATATTCTTCATCCAAAAGGACATTTCCCACCAAATCTGTTTGGGATTCTTTGAAACTCTTTGGTCTGAGCACTCATAATATCTTTCTCAAGTTTTGTTTATGTATCTTATTTTATGCTTTTCCTGTGCCTTCCCTCTTCTGAAATATCCATAAATTAAGTATAGAAATATTTGTTTGGTGATAGTGCTAACTTCATTGTTTTTTAAAGTGCTTTTTGAGAAAAGGTTTCTCTGTGTAGCCCCGGTTGTTCTGAAACTTGGTATGTAGTCTAGGCTGGCCTAAAATAAAACCAGAGATCTACCTGCCTCTGCCTCCCAAGTACTGGAATTAAAGTTATGTCTGTCCCACCATGCCATGATTTTTTTATTATTATTATTAATTGATCTCACAAGAGCTGCATCAGGTTCAAAAATCCCTCCTACTACTTGACACCTAGTTTGTTGTTGAGAATCTTTTTTAAAAAAATAAAATCTCATTATTGTAATGAACTCAGAAACAAAAGTATCACACAGCTATATTAAGGTAGCCATTCAAACAGATTCCCAGTCCCAAACTGTACATATGATTCGGCTTGTAAACAGTTAGAATAGCCATTCTGAAGCATGGAGTTTTGTGTAGGTTTTACACTTTCACTGTCAATGGTGTTTTTCTTCATGTATCTGCTACAAAGGGGAAAGGGTGTTTTGGCATAATTGAAACTAGAAAAACAATGACCTTATGTCCTCTCTCATGACTCATGTGTTCTTTTCCTGTATACATCCTTCCTCATCATCTAGTATTACCCTTTCTAAGTAATCCCCGATTCTAGGGATGTTGAACACCTTTTAAACTGATTCTTGGCCCTTTGTGTTTCTTTTTTGGGAAACCACATTAATCACTTAACTCGTCTTAACTCTTTATTTTTTAATTTCACTTAACAAGTATTTCAGATCCAAGATTATTTGTTTCTTTTTGTGGTCCCTCTCTTTACTGAATTTCTTTTTCATGTAATAAATTTGTTTTTATTTTTGTTTGTTATTTTAGGATTCCCACTAGGTATTCTTCTGTGTACTAAATCTGCCCGGGATCATTGTTTTGAAGTCTTTTGGGGGCTCCTGCATCCTCCTTTCCTTTGGCCTCCATACTGCCTTTGGAGATGTGTACTGCCCTACTTTTTCATGATTCATATATCCCTATGTCTTGCATGCCTTGGATGTCCCGTTCATCTGTGACTTTCTCCTGACGACGGTTGATGTGTGTAGGTGACGCTGGCTTTGATTCCAGGTGGAGGCCATAGTGGGATCTTGATGGAGGCTCCTGAGGTATCATCATTTTTTCCAACCCTATGGCATCAAGTTTGCCGATGCCCCCATGTGTGCGGCCCATGCAGCCCCACAAACAGAATTCCCAGCAATTTCCCTGGGCTGCGTGTGTCTGCAGGGCTGGTGTGGCAGGCCATGAGGAGGATATGGCTAGTGAAAAAGCGGAAACACGGTCCTGTCAGGTGTTTGTGGCTGTGTAGGACAAGTCAGCGCTGGCAGACAGGCAGGTGTGATGCAAGTGGGCAGCAGCAGGAATGTGCTAGGTAAATATCAGTGGACTGGTGAGGCTGGGGTGGCTGTCCATGGAGCCTTGGTGGTGGTGGTGGTGCTTGACCCACTGTAGCACCAGCCCATCCACATAGTTGTGTGACAAAAGCCTTGGTCAAGGAGGGAACAGTATGAATGGATCGTCACTGCAACAGTGCAATGGTATCTCTCCAGCAGCTCTCCATACCAACATCAGTGTCCATGAGAGCTGTCAGGTCACCTAGCAGCAGAATTTCAGGTGTCCGTGGCATCAGTGGGGTTACTGTTTTCTTGTCATGGTAAACATTCTTAGTTTCAAAAGCTGTGGGCTTTTCTGGGTCTCTGCTCCTTGTTGTCTGCCTTAGCCACACTGTAGCCCAGCACTCTCTCCCATGTACTCCACCTCAGCATCAGCTTAGCTTTCTCTTCTTCTGGTCCATTGTGAAAGAGGAACTTCCGCAGGTCCTGTATAAGCATTCCTCCAGGTTTCATGTGTCGACTAGTATTCAGATGTTAACCCACCAGAGGAATGATTCTCTGATGGAGGAAAAGCACACACAGGAAGTAGCTTGTGGGAATCAGTTCTTGCCTTCCACCCTGTAATTCCCAGGGATTGAACTCTGTAACAAGTAAGGTTTTTCCGCCTGCCGCCTGGTCAGCCCCAAATAACACACTGAGACTCTGTATTAGATACAATTCTGTTGGCCAGTTACTTGTTTCTTATCGGCTAGCTCTGTCTTAATTATTAACCTATTTCTATGTATTTCCACGTGGTCTCCTTACTGGGGAGTGCGGCAGGCATCTGGTCTCCCCGTCTCTCCATCTTGTCCCTCCTTACTACTTCCTCCTTGTCTCCTAGTCCCTCCTATCTTCATTTCCTATTGGCCAACAGTGCTTTATTCATTAACCAGTATAAGAAACATATACAGAATGACATCTCCCATCATCTCCTCTTTTTTGTCTAAATAAAAAGAAGGGTTTTAACCTTAACATAGCAAAATATATCACACAACATTTATCAAATAAGAATCACAGTTAACAATATTTAGTCCATTAACATTTAGCGAGATTTAAGAAAATATTCTATCATCTATCCTGTCTTTGTATGTCTAAAGTTTATGTAACTTATCTGTAATCCTAAGAAAAACTATAACCATAACTATCTGTCTTCAACTCCTTCAAAGTATAGTATATAAACTCTAGAAATGACAGAGACATCTTGCCTGATCAGTCACCTGAAGTTCTTTTGTAATCTTCCATCTTCAGCCCATAGGCCATAGTGTGTCTGGCAGACTCTTCAGCAAAGCAGGAAACTTTAAACTGTCTTTTTGTATTGGCAGTTTGTCAGTCACTTTTCTCTGTGTCCTGTAGACTGTCTGGCAGACTCTTTCATGAAGCAGGAAATCTGTAGCAGTGTCCATCTTGAATCAGCAGTCACTTTCCTGTGGGTCCTGCATGTCCAGTTTATACAGCACAAAGTCAAACAGTCCAGACAAGAGCAGTATCTTGTCCAAATGGCTAGTCTTGCTATATTGAAAGTAAACATCATAACGTGTTTCTTCGATGTCCATCTTCCTTTCTGGTACAGGTAGTATTGCCAAGAGCAATTATGTCTCACTGTCACGAAAACCCTAAACCATTTTAAATGCCGCATTCTGTAAGTCTTTGAAAGGTTTGAAGAATGCCTATTCATTTTAAATACATCTCTGTATATCTAGAAAACTAACTAACTTAACTATAAGTTTTGACTATTATAGGTAACTATAATCTGCACTAAATTATACATTACATTTCTAAATGAGCTATAAAAACACAATACCTAAATAAGAGGAGAAATATACATATCATAAAATTGATCTTAAATTGTATCAATAAATGAAAATCCATTCCAAAGCAAAGTATCCATTTCTATACCATAATCCCCTATTTACCTTTAAAAAGAATTGGCTGTGATCATTAAACATTTATAACCAACCCCATTTAAATGAAAACAAACATTTATAAACAATATTTGGGAATTTGGGCATCGTTCTTTCCAAACTACTTCCTGCTGATTGGGGGCGCTGTTATGGGGAATCCTAAGAAGACACAGATATCCTGGCTGTAGTCTGCAAGGCTGCCTTGTTTAAGCTGTTTTGAATGGTGGATCACCAGGAACGCTGTTTCAGGGGGTCTGGCTTGATCAAACCACATTAGTCTGGAAGGAATCCACAGCTTTTTATTTTCTGTGGAAACAAAAATAGGAATCCTTTTCCCCAGTAACTTGTCCTTAGACTTAAATTTTGAAGTCAAAGCATTTTTAAAATATATAAATTGGATGGATCCAGCAGCATTTGTTTTAACAGTTATTGTTATTTTCTCAGCAGTCAAAAGATACAAAGACAATATAACACCATACAGTAACCAGATTCTCTCTGAGCTTTTCATCTTTAGGTGGCTTTATTATTACTCTGTTTCTTTTACTTTTTAGTTTTTATTTTTTGAGACAAGGTTTCTCTGTGTAACTCTTATTTGTCCTGGAATTCACTCTGCATACCAGGTTTACTTTGAAATCACAAGAGATCTAAATGCTTCTGTCTCCCAATTGCTGGGATTAAAGGCGTGTGTTACCCAGCTCCTCTCTGTCTATTTAAAACCATTTTATTTATTTATTTATTTATTTATTTATTTATTTATTTATTTATTTTTCCCAAGCCTATGTATTTTTAAAAACACACTGTAAACCTTTAGCTTTTACTTAATGTGAATCTGTCTTTACTGTAAATCTTTTTCTGGCCACGAGTCTTTTATCTGGTAAACAACAACATTGTTAAAATGAAAGTCTGTTGTTTATGCCGTGGTTTACCAAAGATGGTGGCGGGTACCTTTACCGCCAGCAATGACAGGTGTGGTCACTGCCCTGGTCAGCGCTGCCATCCAGCAGGCATGCTGCCGGCTTGGAGATGTGGTTACTGCCATTGCCATCTCTCAGACACACCAATAAATTGTTAGCAGAGTTATTTAAAAGCCATGCGGTTTTTTGCCACTTATGCTGAGTCAGGAAACTTTTCTTAAAGGAGCCGCGCGAATATCTGCTTGTTTCTCCCAAAGCAGAGTCCAACCGAGAAAAATGCTACTACCAAGAAATCTTGCTTGTCTCTGTTCTTTTGTTTCTAAAACTCTTTTTTAAGCTTTTGTTAAATTTTAAGTGGAAGTTCTTATTAACCATGTGGACACCATATCTAAGGATTAGGGTTTTTCTGCCCGCCACCGGTCTTGTCCCGCCGCCGCACCAGCCCCAATTAACACACCGAGACTCTGTATTAGATACAATTCTGTTGGCCAGTTATTTGTTTCTTATCGGCTAGCTCTGTCTTAGTTATTAACCCATTTCTATGTATTTCCACGTGGTCTCCTTGCCGGGGAGTGCAGCAGGCGTCTGGTCTCCCCAGTCTCTCCATGCTGACTCCCTCCTTACTACTTCCTCTTTCCTCCTTGTCTCCCAGTCCCTCCTATCTTGCTTTCCTATTGGCCAACAGTGCTTTATTCATTAGCCAGTATGAGAAACATATATACATAATGGCATCTCCCATCAGAACTCCGCTCATCAGACTTGGCAGCTGTTAGTATTACTCCATGAGCCATCATTGGCCTTAAGTGAGGATTTAGTTATTTATTGGGTTTTTTGTTTTGGGGTGTTTTTTTTGTTTGTTTGTTTGTTTGTTTGTTTTCTATAAAGGTATCTGACTTGGCTATGATAAAATTTTAGTATTTAAATATTGTAAACATTAATGTTACTTAACCAAATTTGTTTCCATATGGATTTATAGATTTGCCTCTTCTTTCTAATAATTATCTTTTAAATATCAGCATGTATGACACAGAATCAGTCAAGGAGGATGTTAATCTCCAACCACCGTCTACAAATGAGCAACCACCTGTAGCTACTGAAGAGCCTACTACAATTACTCAGGTAAAAACTCAAAACTACACTGTGATATAGGATGTTGAAATCCATGTTGAGTTCTGGGGAGATGGCTCACTGGGAGAGCATGAGGATCTGAGCACCCATATGGGAAGCCAAGTGTGGTGCATGTACTTAGAGCAGAGGCAGGCGACAACTACCCTTGCTGAAACAGAGAGCCTCCTCTTCACTGAGGAATCTCAGGCCATGTAGCAAGACACCGTTTGGTTCTTTTATATAGATATATAGATTTCTCTTAGATGTGTCTGTAAAAAGTGACAGAAACATAATTTTGAAATGGCTATTAAATTTTAATGGGTTCTAGAAAATGAGCAGAAAGGGTAAGACAGATGAAAGGAATTACAGCAGAGTGCTTTGGACCTAGATTTGGTAGGTTTTTAGGAATATGGCAAATAATCACTTCCTTCTGTGTGGTAGAAAATTTCAGCAATTAAAATCAACAAAAGTTATGTATTTTGAAGAAACTGGAGGGGGTTTGTCTTCTAAGCATATAGAGTAAGCCATTAGGCCTTTTGTTAGTCTAGTTTTACTAAATAATTGCTTATGGTTGGAATTGTAAATTGCTGTCTTTTTAAATAGAGACACCAACAATTCTTAAGCCAGAAAGCCCAATGTAATATTATAAACCTCCCTCCTTTCTCTGTAATTAATTCATCCTAGTCTACATCCACTTATTGTACACTCTGAATTATAACGAAGGATGCTCTGATTTACTCTGGTGACTTGTGACTTATGAAAGTCAGCTGCCATGCTTTCAGCATTCCATACAGTGATGGAGACTCCAGAGAACCCTCTCCTGCACACTCAACAGACTGCTCATTAGATCTGAGAACCTTGTCTCGAAGAGCTGCAGAATGTTGGCTCATGAATCCATTTTAGCCCTCTGAGCCCTTGGTTATCGGTGCAGCCTAGCCTACAGTTCTGCAGAAGTACACTCAGAATGTCAGCAGCACACTTGCTGTTGGCACATATGTACACCTGGCCATCATGACAATGGTACGGTAGACACAAAGGTCACTATTCCAGGTTAACTCTGGGCTTGTTTATATTAGGAGAGGTTTCTCTTCATTCTCACAAACCACATGTATTTCACTAAGCCAGCAGTTTTGTAATTACATTAGCATTCAAAGGTTGGGAGAGAAGACTGACATATACCATAAATACCAAAATGTTATGTGTAAATATTAATGGAGGCAAGCTTGAATTTCTGAGGATGTGGCCTCTGATGTTCTCATCTTTTCAGTTACATTATTTTTCATATTTAATTTTGCAATTTCGTCATATTTTCACTTCAGGAAAGTTTCAGTGATTAATCTGAGGGAGATAAAGAAAGGGTGGACAGGTTCAGTTGTTGAGCCTGCACTAGAGACTCACTTGTTCAGTATAAAATGCTAACAGCAATGATGGAGACACAACTGTATTAACATGGTTCCTTGCAAAAAAGTCTACTATTATGTCCCCTCATTCTGAAGAGTGTGATGTGTGTTTACCATGTTGACAGTAATACAAATTTAGTTATGAAATGTAGCAAATGCCTACATTCATAAAATTACGTGGAGAGTACAGATCTTAAAAGAGTTCTTGTTTTATCTCAGATGTCCAGTGACCCCGGGAATGTTTCACATGAGGGAACAAAGGAAACAAAACAACAGGTGAACAGAAGTACAAATAGTTATTGTCCTCCACATGGAACAGTCAATAAAATAATTACAGATGGTATGTGAAATAAATGTACATGGGGAGGAAATGCGAAGTATATGTACCAAATAAAATGCAGATAATAAGGCCACTGCAGAAGGTGTATATCTCAGCTGGCAAGTTCAGTTCTGGGCAGTAATATGTAGACAAAATAAATATTTCCTCATTTTTTTTTTCAAACCCAAAGTATTACTGGATTTACAGTTTATTCTTTTCCATGTATTCTAATGTTAATTTGGGGGGTTAGAAGACACATTAATTGAAGGTGCTTGTTGGAGACTTCCTTTTGATGGTCTCAGTTAGCTAGAAGTAATATTATCCCTGGCAATATTAGGTTCTGAACATTAGGCTCCAGATTTTAAAACAGCTGTGGCCTTATGTAAAATTTGCATCTTATTGTTGCCAAATATTCGTGAAGAGTTTTTTCTTATTTTTTTAATTTACTTATTTTAATACATTGGTACTTTGCCTGCATATATGTCTATATGAGGTTGTCAGATCCCCTAGAATTGGAGTTGCGGACTGATGGGAGATGTCATTCTGTAAATATGTTTCTCTTATTGGTTAATGAATAAAGCACTGTTGGCCAATAGGAAAGCAAGATAGGTGGGACTAGGAGACAAGAAGGTTTCAGGAATAGGGAGGAGGAGGAGATCCAACATGTAGGACTTGAGAGAACAGAGGACCGGATCCTCTCTCCGGTAAGATAAGACCAAGTGGAAATACTTAGATTGATAGAAATGGGTTAATATTTAAGACAGAGATAGCCAATAAGAAATGCTAGGAGCAGGCTAACAACTTTGTATCTAATAAAGCGTCTCTGTGTGTTAATTGGGGCTTGTGCAGCTGTGGGACCAGGCTGGTGGGAAGACATGCTTGTAACAACAGACACCTGGGGCTGCCATGTGGATACTGGGAATTAAACCTGGATCCTTTGGAAGAGCAGCCAGTGCTCTTAACTGTGGAGCCATCTCTCCAGCCCCCTGGTTTTTTATTTCTTTATGAATGTTCTACACAATTGATGTAGGAGAGATTTTAACAACTTATACAGAACAAATATTAAAGAAGATTGTGGGTCAGTTCAGCAGCTTTCCTTTGAGAAAGGCAGATCCAGTGTAAAGAGAAGGAAGAAATGTTGAAAAGTTTGGGGATGTCATGCTAGAGCACATCTCCGAGGCTCTCGGCTAGGAGTGATGAATGTGAACAGAGAATTAGTGAAGAGATGGTTGACTTATTTCTTACCCAAACCATTGCCAAGATCTAAAACACCTTCTAGCAAAGGTAGTAAAAAGAACAGAGGAATCAAAGCAAACAGACGTCCTGAAATTGCCGGATAAATTCAGTAGTGATGAAGATGAAAATAAAAATGAGGGGTCTTTTAGAAGGCTGAGATACAGAGGAGAGGCAGCCACCAAAAAAAAAAAAAAAAAAGTCTAAAAAGGAAACGCCAAAGCTACTGCTAAAAGAAAAAAACAACCCCCCCAAAAAAAACGTAAAAAGTGCTAACGCTAAGAAGGCAGAAAGCACACAAGATGAGCGAAGGCAATTCAAACATGCAAGAAACCACCTCCAGACAAAGAGTTAAAGGAAATAGCAAAGAAATTATTGGCTGATGCTAACTTGAAGAAGTAACAATGAAGCAGATTTGAAGAGTGGCATATGAAAATTACTTAACTGAGAGAAAAGATCTCATTCAAATAACAGGAAAACTAGGCAGTAGTGACGCCCGCCTTTAGTTCCAGCACTGGGAAGGTGGAGGCAGGCAGATCTCTGTGAGTTCGAGGCCAGCCTGATCTACAGAGTGAGTTCCAGGACCGCCAGGGCCACACAGAGAAACCCTGACTCGGAAAACCACAAAAATCTAACAAACAGAATAAAAGCTGTAAAGACTGGTTCCTTGTTATGGTGGTGGGGTGGCTTGTCAGAAGAAGAAAGAGAATGTGCTTTCTTTTCTAAGCCTACTGGGTTTGGAGAACTCACTGCCAAACATTTGAGCTTGCTGCTTTAAGTTGGATTTCTCTACAGCTTTTAGCTTCAGCCTTGCATGATAATAATTGAGTCTGCTTTTTATGATTGCATATTTTGGATTTCTTTATGTAGTGTCTTACGTTCCTGAATTCTAGCTTGCTTAAGATACACTTTAATCAAGTAAAGCAAAAACTATTATAACCAGCCTTTATATGTGCTGAGAATAATGGAGTATTTACTATATGAAATATTGTGAATACATTGCTTCTGTCATTGTTTGCTCATATTACAGCACAGATGACGGTGTTGGAACTTTTTCTACCTGTGTATATATGTCAAGTTGTTGGCGTGATAGAAGTGACAGATGTTAGTTTGTATTTTTAAAACCACTTTAGGGCTGCAAAGATGACTCACCCGTTAAAGGCTAGGCTCACAACCAATTGTAAAAACCAATTTTCTTTACATAAGTTATTATTAGCATTTTTGTGCAGATCAGGTTTTAAACCCATATAGGTAAGTGCCTATGCACTTATAAACTAAAGACTGTCAGTGTTGAGGCAGGTGGCAAGACAGAGCAGTCAGAGTTCAGCGATGGGGACACTAAAGTGCTTTGCCCTGAAAGTGGCATCAGTTTGTGGTTGTGGCATTCAGTGTCAATGAAATTTTATATTGAGGATAAACCAAAATCAATATGCCAGATCTCCAAAAACTGGGAAAGGGTGAAATTAAGCACATTGGACTAGTGAATAGGTAACGTCTTTGAACCATATAAATTTTACTTACAGGAAACCTGGATATCTTCATAATTATGATTTAAAGTATCAGATGTAATGCCCAAAGACGGTGTGTAGGCAGTGTAGGTATCCCTGACTAGTAGTTCTCAAAAATGATAAATTTCCTTAATATTAAAAGTATTTGCAAAATCAAGGTTATTGGATTTTAAGTTTTTATCAATCAACATTTTAGGCGATAAACATGGTCCACCCCTGAATTTAACTAAATTTTGTTTTTTGACTGTCTTAATAAATAACCTATATTTAATTATAAAGACAAGCTGCTTGAAAAAAAATGGTATTTTATGTGTTTAACCTTTGAATCATATCATATATGGAGCAGACACAATAAAATAATGTTGAGCATTAACAGGTATTTCCATATATCTGACTTGGTTGGTATGCTTAAGAGTGACTGGAATAAGCAACATTAAATGGGAACTAAAAATTGCCCTTTCCTTTTAAATAATTTGCTATAAACCTTGGCACTGAAGAACAAATCAATGTGAAGAAGATGTTAAAGCCAGAGTGTTATAAGAAGTGTTCTCTCTTTTGGGGGGCCTTCCACCCAGCTTCCAAATGAATCACGCATGGAGGCTTATTCTTAGTTATGAATGCCGGCCTTAGCTTGGCTTGTTGCTAGCCAGCTTTTCTTAACTTGAATTAACCCTTCCACCTTTTCCCTCTGGGCTTTTATCTTTCTGCTTCTCTGTATCTTACTCCCTTCTTACTCTGTGGCTGCCAGGGTGGCTGGGTGGCCCTGATGTCCTCCTCTCCGCGCTTTGTTGTTGCTTTCTCCTCTTCTTCCTCCTTTCTCCTCCTATTCATCCTCTCTGCCTGCAGGCTCAGCCCATCCTTGCCCTGCCTCGCTATGGGCGGTTCAGCTCTTTATTAGGACCATCAAGTGTTTTAGACACGCACAGTAACACAGCTTCACAGAGTTAAACAAATGCAGCATGAACAGAAGTCACACCCCTTAAAATAATAACCTACCACACCTGAGTGAAGCTCCAGAGCTTTAGATTGGCTGTTCTAACTGTATAGAAGTTCTGCACAATGTGCAGTCTTTGATCACTGAGTTTTACTTTATTTTATTTTTGATTTTTTTTTTTTTTTTTTTTTTTTTTTTTGAGACAGGGTTTCTTCACATAGCTTTGTAGATCAGGGTGGTCTTGAACTCACAGAGATCCACCTGCCTCTGCCTCCTGAGTGCTGGGATTAAAGGTGTGGGCCACCACTGCCTGGGTAATAACCCATTTTTATTAAGTTGTTTGATTTCTTCTTCCCAAGATATTTTTTTGAGACAATTATGAATAGAATTCTTTTGTCTGGTTTCTTTTTTCTGTTGGCATTTTGGAAGGCTACTTATTTTTGTAGTTCATTTGTGCTATTTAATTTTGTTTTAGTTACGTCATGTGCATGTGTCTATCATGAGGTCTTTGCTTGACCTTGTCTGTATTTTCCCTTCCTCTCTTTATCTTTTCACCTAATCAGACCTTGCTAGTTTATTTTGTATATTCTACACTTGATGTTGGACAAAATACCAAATAGATTTATTTTAAAAGAAGTGCTTATTTAGTGAATATAAAATTAATAAAATTTTGTGAAATATGATTAAATATTAGAAAATATTTGGGCACATATTTATTTTATAGCCTTGGTAGAAGGAAAATATTAGGAATATGGCAAGAGGCAGGAAGTCCTAAGACCTCTTTTGTTAGTCTGTCTCTTCTTGAACAGTGAGTTTCTTCTGTCCCATAGCTCCTTGTACCTAAGGCCTTTATAAATGTCTGCTGTCAATGTTGTTTTGTTTTTCTTCTTGTGGGTTCACTGTGGACCCATTATGAAACTTAGTAGGCATCTGGTGATGTAGAAGGGCATTCTATTCAGGTAAGGGAACACTTTGAGGTGAGTTCATTTTCTCCTTCTACCTTGGCTTTGAGAAAAGATGTCTTCTTATTTCAGATCTCCAACTCCTTCCAGCTCTTTTGACTGCAGCACACATCTTCCTCTTGAGCTGGTTCTTCTCCCTGTTAGCAGCTCTCCTTGGTAGGCGTCCCATGGCTCCGGCATCTCCAACACCTTGGGTTCTCCAAGGCAATCCAGACTTCATCTTCACAGCTTCACACAATGCCCTTCATGCAGGGACACCCCGATGCATGCCTGGCCTCAGCAACTTTCATTAGTCATGGAGGGTGCTTCATTACCCTTTTCTTCTGTCCTCAACTCTAAAGTCAGAATCACATTGTTACTGAAAGACCCACAGAGTGCGGACCTTCACGCTCCCACTCAGGAAAGGCACCTCCCCCCAATCACTCACGAGAAGCAGTCTTGATGTAAAAGCATGAGGTCTTTTATATTCCAAGTGCACTGGGGTCCACAGTCATACGTCACGCAGGGGTAGAGGACTGAGGAACCATGAGGGCAAAAGTAAGATAACTTTTATAGGATTACAACAAAGCCCGCACATCTTAAACCAATCATCTCATAGCATCCAGAGCCCTCACGGTGCAGACCAATCAATTTAAACCATCCAAGCCCGCGCTTTATAGACCAATAAGTTTCCTATAGCCCCAGAGGTTTGCATTCGTACGGGTTCCTGGGTGGGGTGACAAAGCTCATGTACTCATAGGTCCTGTCCTAAATAGCAAAGAATGTGACCTTTCATCTATTTACTGGCTAAGGGTGTAAGACCCTCAGAATGAGGAGTCTCCCAGTTTCAGTCAGTACCCCCAAAAACTCAATGTCCAGTCCAGTTGCTGCAACTCGCAAGAGGCTTTAACGAACAGGAAACGTTTGTGCAAACGGGCTCCCACAGAGTGCAGGCCAGAGAGAAGCCCCATCCCCAAGGCACAGGTGTTTTTAAAGGCAAAACCCACAAGCTTAGGGAAGGGATGTGACCCTCTGACCATTGAGTATGTGACCCTTGGAGGCCTGATGGTCTTGCTATTAGGGTCAACAGACCTTAGGGCCTCGGGGTGTGCTAATTAATCTTGTCTGGGCAAACCGGAGGTACAGTTATCTCTTTGTTTCTTAAGGACCCTATTCACCACCTGCTGACTCACAAGAAAGGAGGGGCAGTGTGAATTCTTGGTATCTTGTTATCTCAGGGCCTTGTGAGGGGAAGTTAGCAAATTCCAAGGAACAGATACTGGTCTGGGTTAGCTTTCCAGGTTAGTCTGTCAGCTGATGGGGGCCACACCTATCAAACCACCACACCATGGAAGTGCTAGTATTGGGGTTAGAAGTGAGCCACAGCATAAAACTGTGCTTGGATGCTAACAACCACACTTAGGTAGTCAGAGTTGTGTGGCAAATGCTCTTACCTGCTGAGCCATCTCACTAGCCCTGTCCACCAATACTTCCTGCATATAAGGTACCTTGTAACTATTTCCACAGTGTCCAGGTTCATCTTCCCTCAGGCTTTGCCCCTTCTAATACTTATAAAAATATTACCCAAGTAGTTTTTTTAGTACTCAAGTTTAAAAATTTACTCTGCCATTGTGGTCTTGAATTAAGTTGATGATTTGTATCATAACCAGTCAGGCTTGTATTCCTCCTATAAAAATGTTTTAAAGCTCAAAAAAATCTCATCATATTTTTATGACATTTCTTCATAATGTGATGTTACGTTGTAGGCCATTGTGCCTCTAATAGGGGCAGAAGCAAGAAGACAACTTGGAAGCCAGCCTAAGTGACAAAGCCACATCCTACCTTAAAACAAAAAGAAAGGGAAAAATACTAAGATATTAGAAGAAACCTTTGTGCCTTGCAGAACTCAGGGTAGAGTACTAGCCTAGAATGTGTGAGATCCTAGGTTACAAAGAACAACAGTTCACATAGTATCTGTGTGTGTGTGTGTGTGTGTGTGTGTGTGTGTGTGTGTGTGTGCGCGCGCGCGCGCATGCATGTGTGGACATGTGTGTGTAATGAGAAGACAGGTGTTCTATTGTACATGTGTTGAACTCAGGACAAGTTCTGATTTCTCCTTCAATATTTACATGAGATCCAGAGAATGCCCTTAGATCATTGGGTTTTATGGCAAACACTTTTACCTGGCCTCCTTAAAATGCTTTTAAAAAAGAATCTAAGACTTATCCTATAAACTGATAGGATTTCTGAAAGATATCTTAATAGCTAACTTAATAAAAATATCTTAATAATAACAAGTATGTACTAGTAATCTACACTGTGTATAACTACATAAGTCTGCATGTGAATCTATTTAATAGATTCATTTTGGTCACATGTATTTGTCTATATAGAATTAATTCTTTTTTATATATTTCAGGAGTTACACTCATCGTATTATGGACTCTTCTCTGGTCCCTTATGGGCAATGAAGTTCTCCCTGGTGGAAATTTGTTTGGACTTATAATTATTTTTTACAGTGCCTTTCTTGGGGGGAAGATTTTAGAGCTCATTAGGATACCTGTGGTGCCCCCCCTTCCGCCTCTCCTTGGTGAGTGTATAATCAACTGTAGTCTTTGCTGACTGATTGTAAATTTTGAACATTTTCTGCATCTATTTAGTGTATTTACTGTATGTGGATAAGTAGGTTTATTCTCCACACACAGATTTCTTTACAGGCTAGTTTTGAAAATCCTCTACACAATTTGGGTTATTATTTAATAAGCTTCAACTTAGTTTAAAATACATTCCAGAAGAAAGGATACTTAGAAAAGGCTGAAGCTTTGTACCTGTCATGTAACTAATACTCTACACATATGATGATTATGACAAATGGGGCACTAGTATCCTATGATAACTGAGTATCATGTGTGGGCATTCCATCTGGATTGCATATACCCATCTGCCACTCCTGTATTGTTTCTTTATTCTTTTCTTCTTTTGTTCTGTGACTCTCCAGGTGGAAAGGAAAGTCAGTGGGAGATTTTTTCCCCCCTGAGGTCTTATGTCTTCTAAGCAACCAATACATCTAAATAGTAGAGATTATCTCAGTATCTTTTAACATGTGTATGATGCTCTTGAATCCAAAGCTCTCTTAATACTCACTGAATCTTTAACCCCTCCTCCACAAGCAGTGGCTTATCCTTCTTACTGATCTCTGTGGCCTGTTTTATCACTGTCCAATTCACCAAGACCAACACATAAGAGCTGCAAGATTCTTACCTCAATTCCTCTATGAAACCTTCCAGAGCCCCTGATTCTGCCAAAGAAGAGACTCCTTCCATGACCTGGCTTCTGCCTACTGTCTGAACGCTAATCCTTGCTGTGGATTAGCTGTGGATGCTGTGTCCCAGCATCACCACACTCAGGCATATTTGTGCTTCACATTCCTGTATCCATCCCACTTCCTCTGCTCGTACGAGACCTACCCCTGTGTATCTCTCTTGGAAACATTAACTTACTCAGATGCGCTTTGTTTTCTACTTTCTTTTTCTCCTCTCCCTCTGCTCTTAGGGATGTTACTGGCTGGTTTCACTATCAGGAATGTTCCGATTATTTATGAATTTGTCCGTATTCCTACCACGTGGTCTTCAGCTTTAAGAAACACTGCCCTTACTATTATCCTAATACGAGCTGGGCTTGGACTGGATCCACAAGTAAGATTCCTTTTCAATTTTGAGTAAAATTCTTTTACATATTAGAAAATAACAGATAAAAAGAAAGGATTTTTGTTATAGTTAGAAATTTCTAAGTAGAGTTTGAATGTAAACCAAAGTTAACAAAGACTTGACCGAAATACTGGTTTCACAATTTCTATTTCCAACCAATTATTTATATGAAGAGAAATCACCATAAGATCTCAATTAGAGATCATATCCAATAAGATGTGTAGAAATAGATGTACCTTAGGCAGTATCACTATTAACTGGGAGGCTTTTCTATGGGTACTATTTACTTCCAGTTAAGAAAGGATGATGTAATCCTATAAAAGCTTCCTTGTCTCCTTGTCTTCTTGTCTCTCTGTCTTAAAAAAGAGAGATTAAAATTTCAATAATTTGTTTTATGACTAACTGGAAATATTTTCCTGATTAACTTTACATTACTGCAACAGCTTATTTAAAATATTTCTTAAGATGGTATAACCTGGAGATCAGAAATTTGTTTGAATTACTGAAAGGTGACTAGTCATGGATATGAGAGCTGTAGAATCAAGTGTGGGAAGCATATATAGATTTAATGAAATTATACCAAGAAGGTAAATAATTATCTCTCGTGACATTATGAACCATTAAGAAAATAGAAAAGTACTTCCTTTTGAAATAGATTAATTTTTTATGTGATGTGTTAATATTTTTACTATTATTATTGTTACGTTAAATCATTCACCACTAATTAACTGGTGGGGAAAATCCAGTGAGATATTATCACTGTCATGTGAAGTGGAAAAATTAAAGAAGATATATGTAATCATGGCAAAGAAGCCTTTGAAGTCCCTGTAAGAGCACTTTATAAAGTGCGAAGTGCTATCCTTCAGAGAAATGCGGTGTCACAAATGTGTGCTCAGATGATCTTCTTGTTGACCACTGTAACTGTCTGAGCACTGCGCCTTCTCTGTTTCAGGCTTTGAAGCACCTGAAGGGCGTTTGTCTGAGGCTGTCGTTCGGTCCGTGCATCATAGAGGCCTGCTCAGCTGCTTTTTTCTCCCACTTCCTTATGAAGTTCCCTTGGCAATGGGGGTTCCTACTGGGGTAATATTTCCTTCCTTCCATGAAATCACACACTTAATTGTGTTTGGTTAAAGCTCTGGATACTCCAAATATTGTATAGCCAAGTTCTCCATTAAAATTGTTCTACCACGGGTGGGCAAGGACCCCCAAAAATCAGTTGACAGAAGATAGAGTCGTGTTCCATGTCTACCAAATCCAGCTGTGCATGCTGGCACACTCCTGGAATCCCACGCTAGGGATGGTGAGGGCAAAATCATACTTAGTTCAGGGCCAGTCAGAGGTGTGTAGCAAGATATGAATGAGAGATTTTATTATTGGACACATAAATAAAACTACTTCTTTTTAAAGCAATAAAAACACAAACCTTTTTCTCTCGGTGTAGGACCACATCTATTTTCTCTGTTATCCATCCCTTCATGTCAAAAGTCCTCAAGTTAGGAATCACGTGTCTGTAACTCCTGACTTCCTTTCATTAACTCTTGCTGCACTTACACATTTCAGTCATATCTGAAAAAAAATAAAAGGTTACCCATTGCATCCTCACTGCCAAATAGTGTGCGTTTCAAACTTTTATTGTGAAATACCCCAATACATACATACATGCACACATTATCTGTGCTGGTAATCAAACCCACTGTCTCAAGTATATGAGGCAAGTATCTGATCACCAAACTACACCCTCGTCTTGTTTTTATTAGTTATAAAATTAAAATCCATCCATGTGAAATGCCTTCTGATTATACCTTCAGGCTTAAAGACCACAGGCATCACATCTTCTGCAATGATGCTGTTCCCTATGTGAGTATCTTCTAGTAACTCCAAACAGTACTCTGTCTTGACCTCTGATAGCGGCTGCACTGAACATGTTCTATATACTGGAACTATTCATACAGCTTCTTTAGTAAAATGCCAGTTCCAATCTTTTGCCAGTTTTAAAAATTGAGTTCCTTGATTTCTTACTGAATTTTAAATATGTATAATCTTTTCTATGTGAATGGATCTTCTGCCTGCATGTATCTGAGCACTACGCGCATGCCATACCCACAGAGACTAGAGGAAGGTGTCAGATCTCCTGGAACTGGAATTACAGATGATTGTGAGCTGCTGTGTTGGTTCTGGAAAACCTAGATCCTCTGGAAGAGCAGCCAGTGCTCGTAACCACTGAGCCATTCTTCAGCTTTTTATGTTTTTTTTTTTTTAATTCTAGACCAAATTCATTCATCTAGTATATACATTATATATACTATTATATACATTATATATACTATTATATATACTTTTCCTTCTAATACATGGCTTGCCTTTTAATTCCTTTATTAACTAGTTAAATAATTAGTGACTAAAACAACAGAAATCCATTTCTTAAAGTTCTGAAGGTTAGAAGGCCACGATGAAGATGTTGGCAGGACTGATTTCTCTTGAGGCCACTCTACCTGGCTCGCAGATTGTCGCCCCCTTCCTGTATCTTTGCATGACCCGTCCTCTCTTCATAGGCATCCTTGGGGACTCTTCCTGTTCTTATAAGACATTGGTCCTCTTTGATTTGTTTCCACCCTCATGACCACCACAACTTTAAATAATTTTTCAAAGGCTGTGTCTCTGAATCCAGCTTCATTGATGGTTAGTTTCACATGCGAATTTGTGAGGATGGGGACAGAGTTCAGTCCCCGTAACAGTTCCTAACTTGGCAAACCTTTCTTCCTGTTTGCCCTTAAAGTTATCTTTTCCTTCTAGCATTTGAGTAAAGGAATAATGTAGGACCAATATTAGATCTATTTTTTAATTCTTATTCTTCTGTGGTGTCTGATTTCCAATTCTATCTATAAGCTATTAATTTCCAGATACATAACTCAAGTTTAATTCCTTTAAGCACAGGAGGCACATAACAGCTTCTCCAAGTGATGCTGTCACTGAAAAGAAGAGGGTCCTACCCTCTGAGTGTCCAGTTCTTGAACACCAGAAATGCCCAGCCAAAATTGTTAGGTACTGCAGTAATGCACGCATTTTTGTCATATTTGCTGTCTGCCACAGATTCTTCTATGAGCTTTCACGTTAACTCATGTTTATAATTCTCATGATGGATTCGCTCTCACATTATCCCAGTTTTACAGTCACATGATGGTTAGATGGTTAAACGAATCTCTTCAAGTTATACAACGTGCTGTGATTCGAGTATGTGTCAAGTGAAGTAAAGACTTAAACATAAAATGTACATTTTATAAAGTAGAAAATATTAAGTTTTTTTAAGTTTAAAAAACAAAGCATTTGTTTGTTTTAAACAGGCAGGGAAAGTGATCTGTAGCAATGTACAGCGTGATACTTATGTGTATCATGGAATGGTCGAACCTAATTGCAATATGTATTACCTAGCAGCATGGTACTTAGAAATACATGTGTACCATGGAATGGTCAAATCTAATTGCAATATGTATTACTTAGCAGTTATTTTTTTTTGATGGGGGAAAGATGTACCACCCACTTTGTTAGGACTACTCAACAATGTCATACATCATCTGTTGTCTCTGTGTACCACAGCAAATCTCTTGAGTCTATTCCTCCTGTCTGGCTGTATTTTGTATCTTGACCTGGGTCTTCCCAATCTCCCCATTAATTTTTAATGGTGTCTCAGAGGAGATTTAAAAATTGATTTCTGTTTCTTTTATGATTTGTTTTATTTGCATAACATCACAGATTTTTTTCGACACAGATTTTTAAAAATCTCTCAAAGAAGTTTCATAGTACAAGCTTTTAGGCTTAGGCAGGTGCATGCGTTACCATGGGTCAGTTTTCACTGTGTGCCATGTGATAGGAGCCATGTTGCTTTTGCTTTGCTTTTCTCTGATGCTGTGTAGTTGTTTCTGTACCAGTTCCTGCAGGTGGTGTCCACATTATGTCACTGTCACAGCTTTGCTGAACAACAACCTGCGCATGTGTGGGGGTTTTATTTCTGAATGTGTCTTCCATTGCTTTGATCTGGATGTCTGGTCTTACTACATTTTCTTCATTACCATACCTTTCTGGAGAATCTTGAAATACGGTTATTTTAGTCTTCTAGATTAATTATTTTGCAGGGTTGGATTATTAGTTCTGAGTTCTTTACATTTTCTTACTCATTTTAGATGAGTTTGTCAGTTATTATAAACAAAAATAGTTTCTTGGATTTTTAATTGGATTTGAATTGACTGTGTAGCTAATTTGGAATTAGTTAACTTGCACAGTGTTGACCTAACACCCCCCCCCCCCCCCCCCGGTGTTTTCAAGACAGGGTTTCTCTGTAGCTTTGGAGCCTGTCCTGGAACTGACTCTGTAGACCAGGCTGGCCTTGAACTCACAGAGTTCTGTCTGCCTCTGCCTCCTGAATGCTGTGATTAAAGGCATGCACCACCACCGCCCAGCTGAATCTTGCTTAATTTTTCAATCAATGCTTTGTAGTTTTTAGATGTTTAATGTCAATATTATACATGCTTTTAAAGTTGATTCCTAAGTATTTCTATGTTTTGATACTCGTGTAAAGTTTGTTTTTATTTTAACTTCCAGCTACTTGTTGCTATTGCTATTCTATAGAAAAATGTAATATATATAATGTTTTTAAAGTGTATTTTGTTTGTTTTAAAGATGTGTGTGTGTGTATGTGTGTAAAAAGACATCCATAGAAAATATACAAATGGCCAACATCTGAAATTCTTGTCATCTGTAAGTATTAGAAAACAGAAGTAAAAGGATATTATTGCACATACACTGGGCTGAGTATATGTGTAAATATTGGCAAGGATGTGGAGAATCTGGGTCTGCTGTGTTCTGCCTGTGGGACTGTGAAACAGTGCCTCTGATGAGGAAGGGTTTGAGTATCTACTGTGTGTGGTTAGTGCACCTTTAAAAGTGGAGCACGTCTTCTGCAGCAGTGTTAGACACTGGGCTTGTGTGTTCCTTCTTAAATCCTCTGACTAGAATACTTTTGGTTTCCTATCCCTCGAGGATTCTCCTCTTGTCCACTACTTGCATTATAAATTTTCTTTTTATATGGATATCTTCATTCTAAACGATGTTCAGATAGAGCGGAGACGTGCATTTGTGCTCAGTCCACAAATGGTTTTTGTTTTTTGGTTTTTTTTTTGTCCAGTTTCTTTTTTCTTTTTTTTTTTTTTTTTTACAGGAACAAGTTTATTATTCTGTCAAATTCCCTTTTTGGGTAAGAATTCCATTACATTTTTGTGCTTTGTTTGTTCCATTGAGTATTTTTTATTTATTTTTTATTTTTTTTCATTTTTTTTATTTATAATTTTTTTATTTTATTTTATATAACAAAGTCCAATTAAATGAAAACAAACATTTATACACAATATTTGGGAATTTGGGCGTCGTTCTTTCCAAACTACTTCCTGCTGGTAAGGGGCGCTGTCTTGGGGGATTCGAAGAAGATTCAGATATCCTAGCTGTAGTCTGTAGGGCTGTTTTGTCCAGCTGTTTGGAATGTAGGATCAGCTTGTACTCTGTTTCAGGCGGTCTGACGTGATCAAACCACATTAGTCTGGAAGGAGTCCACAGCTTTTCATTTTCTGTGGAAACAAAAATAGAAATACTTTTCCCCAGTAACTTGTTCTTCAAGTTAAATTTTGGAGTCAAAGCATTTTTTTTTTTTAATTTATTATTTTACATGTCGATCCCAGTTCCCTCTCCCTCCCTCCCTCCAGCTCTCCCTCCCTCCTTCCCTCCCTTTTACCCTCTCTGCCCTCTCACATGCACTCTAAACACCCTCCCTCCCATCCCCCCACCACAATTCCATATGTAGGGGAATGCCATCCAGTTGGGGTCATGTAGATCTGACAGGTCCTGTGAAGTAGGGACTAGGGCTTCTCTCCTGTCTCTAGATTAAGGCAGTTATCCCTCCATGGGGGATATGTTTGCAAAGTCCTTTTGTGCACCAGGGATACATCCTGGCTCCACTGTCTGAGGTCCCTTAGACTGCTCAGACCTTCTGGCTGAGACCCATATTCAGGGGGGTCCGAGTCAGACCCCTGCTG